TTTCTCCAGGATCCCAACTTTTTCTATATAGGAAGCGCAGATTACATAAAGCCGCACCGAGCGCGGCACACACCTACGCAGCAAGCGCACCACGGTCACCGCGTTGCATGCAGACGCCATCCAGACATGAGTTCCCCAAATATACCTGCTATTCTCCACAAGGCTCATTATGGACTGCTAATGTATGCAGCTGTACTTGGAAACGGAGTTCACTGACAGCAGAGATGGCAGAGCCTCGGGTTTTCTTAGTGCTTTAGATGCAGCTTTCACTTCCAGAAGTCAGCTGAGGAGATTTTTTAAAGTTTTCGAAGCAGAGTTACACCAAGCACAGAGTGCTCTGAACGCTGGTTGGATTTGTGGTTGTGTTTCTTCTTTTCCACCCATGCGGCAGTTTTCTTAACTTAGTCCTGTTCTAGTATTTATCTTTTTTTTTCTTCCACCCCTTTTTTCCCTCCGCTGGTCTCTTTTTAAAATTCTCCTCATCCTAACCGCCCCCATCACCCCCTTCTTCGCTCTCCCCTGAGATGTGACGCTCCTCTCCAGGCCCCACAAGCTTCCTTACTCCCTTGATGCCTGTTCCTAATTTGATCCCAAATCTCACACATTCCCCCCTGACTGAAACCTTCCCTCAAACACCCCACGCCCCCTCCCCAAGCTCCTCGCTCCCCAGGGGCAAAATGTCACCTCCCCCCTCGCCTGCCATCGGCAAACACCGGGACAGGGCTGCCGGTTCACAGGGAAAGAGGCGCTCGTCCCTACGCAGCCGAGGGGTTTAAGGCGCGTTTCTGAGGGGAGGGCAGCACCGGGCAGCCCTCGGGGAGGGGGGACACACGCTCTCCCCGCCGCCCTGAGGCGACGCTCCCCCCCCCTCTCCGCTCGCCGCCACCCCTCGTCTCTACCTGCCAGGCAGGCGGTGGCGTCCATCCATTTGAGGAGCTGCCCGGCGCTCAGCTCGCCCCGGTGGTCGGCGTGGGCCGGCAAGACGGTCTGGCACATGCAGACCCCGCCGCCCGCCGCCCCGCTCGGCTCCATGGCGAGGGGACGGGGACGCGGCGGCGGCCGAGGCTCCCCCGGGCGCGGCCTCGCCGCCAACCCGCCCCGCCGGCCCTGAGCTGAGGTGAAATCGCCTCCTCCGGCAGCGCCCGGGGCGGGGCTGAGGGCTGCCGGGGCACCCCGGGGCAGGCGCGGCCGCAGGGCGCCGGGGCGAGGCGGGTGGCAGCGGGGCCGGGTGCCGTTTTCGCCGCCCTGCAGCCCGTTTCCATCCCCCGCGGCCCCTGCCCCGGGAGCCCCTCACGGCCCGGCATCGGCCACCGCGATGGCGCGGCCACCACGGGCCTGCGCTGCTGCTGATGCTGCCAGCTTTCGGCGTGCACATCGCCGCTGAAATACTTATAACCTAGCTCAGATTAGTATTAATTCTTACTTTTTTTTTTTTTTTTTTTTCCAATTCTTGCACTCTAGGGTTGTCACCAGCTTGGCGGCTGGGCAGATGGGCACAGGGATGATGCATTCCCATCGCCAGACGCTGGTGGGCCCTGTCGGAAGGTGGCAATCCACTGTGCGGGTGGGTACGGACATTTTGACACCTACCTCAGTGGCCACGGCCCCGGTCACGTATTCCCGCAGGAGTCAATAACTGGAGACCTCACAGAGCGCTCTGTCCTCTTACCTCTCCTCCTCACATGGCTGGTAGGGTACTGCGGGATATTGCTGCTCTTGCAAACTATGAAGATATAAGCACTGCTGAGGGAGAGCAGAGCGTTTGCTTTTGAACGGGTCAGAAAGGTCAGTGACTATTGTCATGGGTACAGCATTATTACTGCTGAAGGCTCAACCACACTGAAGAGGGCATTTTGGAGATGCTCCCCAGCTGGGTTTGTCAGCTGTTAAGGCAGCGCTGGTCCGCGGGTAGCTGAGTGTGTGACCTGTGAATGGTCTTTAAGGAAAGACTGAAAAGCTTATACTTGACTGTGCTATTCCCCCTTCCTTGGGTAAATAGCGCGGTTTTCAACAGAGCAGCAAGACTGTTTACTGTAGACTTTCCTTACAGTCTTTCCTCTTTATCATCTAGCTATGACTTGTTACCCACTATTCCAATGACGGGCTTCCCATGTTTATTAAAACCACATATAAATAAATTTATATCATGAATGCTTGTTCATTTAAACATTGTTAAAGATCCAGCTTTAACCCATAACAGCTGGGAAAATTTGAATTTTAATGGACCTGCCTCACCAAGATAAGAGTTTATAAGTGCAGCAGGGATTTTCTTGCCACATGGTCTATCATTGCACTGTAGCAAGATCTCTGTTGCTTTGTCACATACCCTTCTAGCAAGCAACAGGATGGCTGTACCATCATACTAGTTACATTTCAGAGGACACTGGCTCTGAAAATCAGCATGCTGTGCTGTTCTCTAGATTCTATTCCATTGCTTCAGAAAAAAAAAAAAAAAAAAGTTTGTACTTATTTCTCTTTCCTTATTTGACTGGCTTCTGGGAAGGAAAGAAACAATCTCTTGAAGTGGCAGTGGCATACCTCAGTCTTGCTACTTGAACAGGGCTTGTCAACAGTATTCAGCCAGTATTTTCTTCTTAATTGTCTCCTCAATCCAGATGACAAAAACTCAAGTATCAACTTCTCACACCATGGACTTTAGATCTCAAAAGGAAGTCTTCAAATGGAACTAAACATTTCTCTATTAAAAAAACAAAACAATAAACCTGTGTTTTGCCTGCCTAGGCCAGTAATTTGCACACTTGTTTTCAGGTTTTGTCATGCTCATTGACTATGCTTTCCCTAAGATAATGCTTGTTGTTTTTTCACAGGTAGCTTTCCCATCCATTTAACAGTCAGCAAACAGGTGTTTGGCCCATAATAAATCTGTTGTCTGCTGTGAGATTAGGAGCTATAAAGCTGCATTATAGAGAGGTAAAAGTAAAAATCTAAATCTGTTCAGACCTAAAACTTTCTGAAGCATGTGGAGGAATACTTGCTTGGGGCCAGTGGTCAGCAGACCTCTCAGGCTGTATGGAGGTGTTTCTGTTGGGGTAAGAGAAAGCTGGTATTTGAGAAACACACCTCAGCTGTACACACCCCTTGATTTCTAAGGGAAGGATGTAATTTTAAATACATCCGTTGGAAGCAGGAGCTGCCCTTCAAGATCAGGAATGACATCCCAGGATCCAAACGAGCAATGCACATGCCTCCCACTGCTTTGGATACCCTGCAGCCACACCTGTGGAGTGAGGTGAGGGAACTCAGTCTAAAATTCCCTTTTCCTAAATGAGACTCTGCTTTCGTACACTGCATTTCTCCTGCCCTCCAGTTCCACTTCTTGGACCCTGTCTGCTGAGGTTACAGACTCTGGTGCCTGTCTTCCGATTGACTTCAGCGACTCTTTTCTCTGCAGTCCCTTACACTTTAGCTTCTTACACAGTCTCCACTGGAGTAGCTGAATATTTGACAGAGTTCAGTGTATCTGTCCTCAGGAAATACCTGTAAGGTCAGTATTGTTCACTTTCACAGCTGAAAAATTAGAGAAATTAAGTTACTGGCCCAAGTTCACAGAGGAGATTTGTGCTTTTCAATGGTTTCTCAGTTGAAAAGTACCTTTTGTGGCCCAGCAGCCTACACCAGCACCTCTGGCATCACCACCAGATGAAGGTAGCTGGACCAACACTGCATGGCTAAGGCAGTTGCTGGGAGGCATCTTTGTGAACCATCACATTTCTCTGCATTGATGCCCACTGTGGTGAGAGGTCAAAGGCAGATGGTCAAAGGCACCCCCTTACATCCAAACCCATATGCCACTCAGTCACGGACTTTGTGAAACTGTTCTTTTGAAATGAGAACTGGTGGTGAGTTAGAGTAGAGCTCAACTTTAGCAGTTTGATTAACCAACTAATAAATTGACTTCTCTTCAGAACTGTTGCTTGCTAATGCAGTTTTTAGAAGTTTTTGTCAACAAATGATTCGCACTTAATGGCTTGAGGCTTCCCCTGAGGAAATGAAACAGTAAAAGCAACAAGTGCAATACTGTTTTAAATACATTTAAAGAGAAAAATCCAGAATGGATATTAGGTTATCATGTCCTAATAACATGCATTTGTAATTGAAGCAACATAACTTAAAAAACTTTGTGCAGCACAATAGCATATCTCACAAGCTCTGTGAAGAACAAGACACAGTGCAATGCCTGTAGAGGAACTGTGCCAGAAGAGGTAAGGCATTTTATTAATAAAAGATGAGCTCAGTATTAGAGGTGAATAAATCTTCTGTAAAGTAAAGCCATAGGAGCTAGCAAGAAGTACTATTCAATCATACAGCACATAGACAGCTATCAGCCCACTCAGCTAATCACATAACTGCTCCTGCCCTGTGTTTCATCCAAGTTAGAATTTATTTTGAGAAATGGTATAGAACAAAGAGGTAGCAAAGGAGGTCCAATTAAGAACCAAAATTCCACAAAGCGTGTAAACTAGAATTGGTTTTCAGGCTTCTTCCAAAATTCCTTCTATATTTAAACAGATGTATGCGTGACTGGAGGCCATTAGCGTTCCTTGGAAAATAAGACTGATGTGGTAATCGTGACATTGTTAACACCTTCACACATCTTTTCTTACCAATGGAGTCAGCAGCTGCAGGACACACCTCCAAAATGGATCTTCTTGGTAATGTTTTAAATATAGATGTCAGCTTCTGCAGTAAATAAACTACAATATATAGCAGTGCACCTTTTTGGACTATACTTCTATATTCTTGAAGCAAATGTATCACTGCCTGAAGTTATAAATGTTTTAGAGATTTGTATGTTTCTTTCATAACTCTAGTTATTGATACAAAAAAGGTTTTTTTCGGACAGACCTTGTGAAAATACAATTACTTCTTGTAAAATGAAACTTTATTCTAAAATGTATCCAAAATTGCAAGACACAAGCACCATTAAACAGATAAATAGACATATATTTATGTACAGAGAGCATCAAAACACAAAACAATTGTTAATATAATTCTTATACCATTTTAATGAGTATCCATCAATAAAACTTTACAATTTAAAGAAGACTTTTCAGTTGCAAAACAGTTGTAAAATCATATGTATAAATTATGTTTACTACAATTCCAATAACAGAGGCAAAGTAAAATACAAAAATAATAATCAATACTGCAAATTCAAATACAAAACCCAAAGTAATGCTGCACAGGTACATATGTACACTGGATGAATTCATGCAGCTAGGCAGTGCAACAAATTAACTGCTGAGTTTAACCTATCACAAAATGGAACAACCATGTCAGCAAACAGAAGAAAATATATTTTTGTAATAAATCATAGTGCATTTTGAAGTTAGACTTTATAAAATGATTGTTGAGTGATATACATCTAAAATTCCCCATGTGATCTAATATCCCCCCAACTCCTCTCCTGCAAAAAAAAAAAAAATACAAATGAGAAAAGCTAAAGACCCCACTGTAGTATAGAGCCTGATGTACTGGTACCATCTTGATTTTTTTTTACTTTCGGTATCAGACTTGTTTGCAAGTGTCCGTGTCCACAAGGACATGCGTTACTCCTTGCTAGCAAAAGCAAATCAAATCTTTCATGCTCCAAAGCTATCTCCATAAACTGAATCTCACACAACGCTTAGACTGCACTGGTTTAGAGACACAGCTGAGCCTTGAAAAAAGAACTCCAACATCCCTGTGAAGTACAGAGAGAGAGTAAACGGAGGATAGAGAGACCTCTTTATTCCTGAAGCTCCTATCCGTAATTGCTTTAATTACATAAACACAGAATAACATGAGGCTTTTATGGCTTGGATGAAATTTCTGCTAATTTGCTGGGCAAGCACAAAGCCCATGTTTCTCCACAGGGCTTGCCTTTCACAGTGCAGAAGGCTAAAGACTATTTTGGTGTGAAAGGAAGCCTCAGGTAACTATATAGAAAAATACTTCCGCGGCGAAAATGTATTAATGATAAAGAAACAAAATCAAAACAGAACCTCTTGAAAACTGTGATTTCTCGTGTAGCTGTGATACTAAAACATGGCTGTTCACCTTTCAGTTCTGCGTTGGTTGGTATATCATGAACATGTAGCTAAAACTGAGGTTCATACCTCATTGAATATTACTGATTAAGTGTCAAAATTAGATGAGATACAATTACACAGTCTGACACTTTTCTTAAAATCTCAAGTGATAAGCACGCTCAGTGTTTTCACTAAAAAGTTACTGCTAAAATGCTACATTTCTTTGCTGAGAAGACATTAATTTACAGCAGACTGTAAACTACTGAAGAGTCGCTCCCTGCATCCTTTGTGCTTCCAAAACCCCCTTTCAAGCCATCATTAACTTTCAAGTTAATGGGATTTTTTAGCAAAAAAGGCATGCAGAAAAACACCTGTATTGGATAAGCAATGTAGCAATTTATACAGCAGCATTTCTAAATTTCCAACATGCAAGCACGTGTAGAAAGAAGCTGAGACAGCATGCACTGCAGTGATATGTCATTGTACTTAGGTCTGGTGAGAACACTATGGCATTTTCAACTGGGGAAGTATAAATCTTAGCCCCAGAAGACTCAAATAGCCAGTACTAATGAAGCCATCAGCTACTATGTAGTAAAGAACACCCCAAAAGAGGGAAGAAGTTTGTCTGCTTGTAGTTTATAGATACTGAAGCTGAAGAGAATTACAAAGGCACGATACAAGCCTATATTTCTTGTAAAATATATATATTCATGTATTTTTGCTCATACCACCTCAAGATACTGAATGATAACATAATAACTGAAGATACAAATGTTAATTGAAAGTTAAGCACTAAAAGTAAATGACTGCTGGAGAAGATAACTCATTACTTGCTACATTTCTACCCTTCCTGGGTGGTGAGCATGTCCACCTTTCCTCATTCGCTGACAATACCCATCAAGATATTCAAGAACATGGTGATTTACCAAGAAAACTGGAAGAGTGTCAGACAACAGACAGAATGGCTTTATGGATCTGAGAAGTTGTCAGTACGTGGCTGCCACAGCAATTTTTCTCACTGCAACTGTTTTACCTTTGGCCCAGAATTCACTGAGAACCCAGAAACAGCAACTGGAAATTCATAGCCATTTTCATGCAGAGATGAGGCTAAGATAATCTGTGAAGATAACATTTGGGTTCAGTTTGGCACTCAAAATATTGGACAGCAGAGCAGTGATTGTACTAGCAAATCATAAAAAAAAAAAAGTCTCAATTTTTCTATTCATAGCTACACACGAGGTGCATACCATTTTCAACACTGGATGACTCGCAACTCGGGAAATAAAGCAGATGTATCAATACTGCTCCTGTTAAGATCACAAAAAAATGACAACCGCTTTGGTGTGATGAACAGGCAGCTGCTGTCTCAGGCCCAGCTGTGAGAATGTGGACACTTCATGAAAGTGAAAAAGTGCACATTACAACATTTGCACTTCTAAATTTCAGCTGTTCCTCGGCTCACTACAAGAATTGGTACAACTGCTGTTATGATTTTGTACCAGCAGCTGATGAAGAAGGATATCAAGTTGAACTGGGATAAGGTAGGTGTATGGTTCAAGCCTGAGATAGAACCTGCTATAAATGGGCTTTCCTAATCCACAGCAACGCTGTCTGCAAAGGTCTGGTCTATCTGAAACCAGATACTTTCCTCATCTTCAACCAGCATGTGAAATCACGTACATTTTCTTCAAGTTAAAAACCAAAGAAAAACAAAACAAAAACCAAACCATAAACTGGCATTACTACCTGTATCTTCACAATCCTAAATTAGGAGCTCCTAGATTTATTATTTAAAGCTCTCAGGAAAGGAATCCTTAGCCATCCCTAGAAAGTATGAACATTATTAATATCTTAGTTACAACCTCACAGCTGAATCTAAAAGCAGCATATGCTATTGCTGGTGCTGATTCACCTATGCAACGGTTTCTCCATGTGTTGCTTTCAATGAATTAATCAGTGCAGGCAAAGAGCAAACGAGCCTGCTTAACAAATAAAGGTGAGGATTTCTACGCTGGTGTGAACCTACAAATGTTCAAACAAGTTAATTAAAATTACACCTGTTTATAAAGAAGGAAGTAAAGATGAAGAAAATAGCAACTACAGAGCAGAAATCTCATGTTTGAGATTGAAGGATTCAGAAACTCATCTGGAAGCCACTCAGATTCAGGTTCTTAGGAGCTGCATTATTCTCGCTCATACCAGGCTCAAATAAATACACTTTTGTGTACAGGGATGTGAAACTAAATAAAAACCGTTGGATTCATTCCACCTAACTGTAGGCCTTTAAAAGCATGAAGGATTCATCAGTGGAGAGGGCAAGTGATGCCATAGAACAATCTTCCACTTCTGTCCCTCCTCTGACTTACAGAAAAGACCTGGGCTGGTAATTTTTAGGCAGCTAAAATTAGAGTAGGATGAATCAGGACACAGCATGGAGCAGAAACAAGTCTGATATGGTGGTACAGTACTACCATTACAAAACAAGGTCTGCAAAAGCCTTGTCTGAGGCTCCAACCCAGGTACGCTTTGTGGTCAGTGACCCACACAATCCGTGTCTTCACAGCTCCCCAGTCTTGCAAGGAATTTTTTAAAGATAAAACAGTGAGGCTTGATTTTATGACCATGTTTCCTTTGTTTGGTCCTTAGACAAGGCGGCTTCTCCAAACACTGGATTCCCACAGCTGTGCTACACCAGCTGTCAGAGGCATTCTCTGAGGGGAGGCTCTTGCAACAGACAAATGCACAGAGGGTTGTATTTTGGTACAACAGAGCCAACACCTCCAAACCTCTCAGCACTTCCAACAGCTGTGGAAAACAGCTGTATGTTTCAAAAAGGATTTTGAAAGAAGGGAAGCCTTCAGGGGCAGGTCTGTTTTCTGACACAGTCTAAGGGCTTCAAACAAAGATGTATCTGTGGTACAACTCCTCCCAAGGGCTGCAGCTGGGATGGTTATGATCCCCTAAAGCAAGATCCTAAAGCATTTGGAAAAGGATCACTGGCAGGCAGTATGCTGGATCTCTCATCAGCACAGACTACCGCCCTTCTGAAACCATCCCAGAGGCTGCTTTTTAAAGTTACACACAAGGAGAAGCTTGCAGTTGGAGTGATGACTCAACACAACACTCACACATGTCCACGTATTTATGATGCTGTGGGAATTCTGTATCACCATGCTTTTGAACTCTTTCAGTATGGCATGGATGGGGTCTTTGTGGTAGCATCAGTAATGAAGATGAAGCACACACTGAGGAGAAATACAGCTGTTCTGAAATACACAACTTTTGTGAGATCCCCAATATTATCAACATTAATGCTTAAGGTCAGAGGCAATATCAAGTTTGGCAGGTATTTTCTACAATAATATTTATATGCACAAATTTAATTCTTGCTGGTTTGGAAAATTACTGAGGTTTTCTTTACTTCCAAAGAGTGGAGTTTGAACATTGGGTTCATTTATAATGTTCAAAGTCATCCTTTGTCTAAAACACACTTGCTTAATTGTTTAAATATGTGACCTGCAGATACTTGGGAATAAGGGACTGGGATTACCCTGTTGTTCTTTGCAAAGGGCTGAAGCAATCTGTAGAAACATTTTTTTTTTTTTTTTTTTTAACCTTAGAAATATAGGGAACTTATCTACAGATTGGCTTGGAAGTGTGAGGAACATTTATTGCAAGTACTCAAAGTTTTACGTGAAGGGGTGAAGGTGCAAGGTCACTAGCAAAGACTGCCTTTATTCCAAAGATTAACCTAGACATTTAAACTATCATTAAAAACAAATAAAACACAGAATTTAAAATAATCCAAGTGAGAATACACTTCAACTTTCCCAGCTTTTTCACTTTTCCCATCATTGTCTTTCAGTCTAGATAGGATTTAAATTTCTGACGTCAGAAACCAGCAAAGAACACACATACATTTTCAGGTCTTTGTTGTGTATCGTAAAATACTAATTAAAAAAGAATCTGGAGTTCAATAATTCAGATTACTTTTCTGTCTCAATAAACAGACAAATAATTAAATTCTCCTTAAAGCACTGTCTCACATGAAGCCTGTGGTAGCTGGGGACGAGGACACAATACAGAGGCAGCGCTCTACCCCCTGCATACCCTTAGAGATGGGTTTCTGCCCTGGCACCGATGCGGACATTTTTGGGAAAAAAAAAACAAATGACACCAGAGGAAAAGCGAAAATGTCTTTGCTCACATACTGCAAGAAAACCTGCAGGCTGGCGGGTCTCCCTGCGACAGTCTGCTGTGGTGTGTTGGCTGGGGGGCAGCAAGAGGAGAGACTTTCCCTCCTGTTCCCTGCACAGGGTCCGACCCCTCGGGCCTGCAGGCGCCTGCAGTGGGACGGCGTACGCTGCGAACCCGGCGCGGAGCCACGAGACGTGCTAAACTGCAGCGGCCTGTTGCCTGCTCAAATCCAACCCCAAGCTCCCCAGAAGGGTATGAACTGGGTTGAATTCTCTTACAGTTAATATTCCTGCAGAGGGCTTATGTATCTGTTGTTTGAAATAAATTCTGAAACCCCTAAGCGTGCTTAACAAAGCTTTAACTATATGTGAACAGCAAGTTTTGAGGACAGAACAAGTACTGTTGTAGTATATAATACACATAGCTCTACAATCAAAAGCCACCTCTTGCTTCAAGACAAGAATTTACAGTAGTAAGCAATGGTGACAAGGTTTCTTACACAAAACCTACAGGAATTTACAGAATATGCATGGATCACTGAGATTATAATGCCAGCAGTAGACTACACAAGTATCTTGTGCAATGTGAACAAAGTTGACAAGTTTACCAATGCTTTAAGTATTTCACATAGATATGGTAACGCACCAGCTATCAAATCTTCCTCCTCTCCTCACCAGAAACAAGTGTTTGCTAGATGCGTGTACAGCAATCCAGAAAAAAAATTGATTTGTTTTTGTTGTTTTAGGCAAACATGCACAAAATAGATGAACTGCAACATTTTTGCAAGGGGACACTTATCACCAAAATAAAAGCCCTCAAAATTGATCTCAAAGCATATGCAGCATTTTGATTTACACTTCGCAAATAGCCACTAGCAGGCAAAAAAGTTTACTGTATGAATGCTTTTCGTCCTAAACAAAAAAGAAAAAAGAATTTACTTGATTCTCAACTAACAGAAAGCTCCATCTTCTACTTCAGCCCCAGGTTAGGAATTTATATTCTCTTTCTTAACCATTAATCTAAATCAAATCAAAACTAGGAGTTAATCAGAAATATGAAAATAGACTGGGGAACAGCTTATACCTGCTTTTGAAGATCATATTTATAGATAGCAATTTAGCAAACACTGCTTTTCTTTCCCGCTAAACTGTTGGATGTGCTCTGTGCTCCTGTTAGAGAAGGACTTTGACATCTGCTGGAAGGGCACCTGCACTTTGCTCATCTGTAACAAAAGGTGCAGCCCATGGATATCGTAGTCCCTGGTCCACAACCTGTCAAGATCAAGAAACACAACCTCTCTGCGGGGGATTACAGACTCTGCAGCATGCACCTCTGCATTAAAAAAGACTGCAGCTACTGAATCCTACCTAACAGTTTTGCTGCCAACAAGCTTGTTATCAGTAACATACTTTTCAAACTTTTCTAGTAAATTATAGGTTTAGTAAATTTCTACTTCAATTAAATACGCTCTATTTGGATTTTATTTTCCTCCAGTCTGCATGGCAAACATCAGCTTTTGTTTCAAGCTATTTTATATCATTGTTAGAAATCATCTCATCTACTGTGCGAATGAGTCTGTGAGATGCTAACTTTCCTAACCTTGTCAGTGAGAACTTGCAGGATATTGCACTGCCACTTATTTGTTGTTACACTCAGTGTCACTAATGAAATAAACATTCTATAGTAGGGCTCTAGTTACAGATGTGAACAACTTTCTGTATGTTTATTGGGCAAATTGTTCTTATTTTTGTGCAAAGATCTGACACAATACATTTAATGGGAAAATCCAGATGAGAGAGAAAAAACCATGAAGGTTAAACAACAAAAATAAAGCCAACAAATATCCAGTTCATCCAGTTGATAATATGGCTCCTCAAGGATCGGAGCACTTGTTCCATAGCAATAAAACTTCACATCAGAAGCGATTACTGATGATTTCACTCTATAGGGACAAATATAGGTTTGGTCACAGTTATTGTTAAAATTCCCTCCTAATCTGAGGAACTGTATATATCTCTGTAACAGACCAAACTTCTAAATTGTATGGTCTATTTCCTCGTATAGCCAGGGTATTGCGAAAATGCATCACCTTGCAAAATCCCCATGTTTTGTGCTGATTCTCTATGAAAACTGGTGCTTAAACTGCCAGAATTTTCTCTTAGCAAAATTAAGCATCTTGTCCAGGCATTGTAAAATCTTAAGGGAGCCCCAGACCTAACTGCAAGAATTGTACAAGTTCTCAAGAGAACAGCGAGGTAGCGTACAAATACCGTGTTTCTGAGCGCACACCTGGTGGATATATTATCCAATCCTTAATTACCAGACCCTGTGAACAAGCCTGTTTGACCACTCAGTTACTCTTCTGAGAGATACAACCACAGAACCCTGCACAGTTAAGGGGCACACTGAATCATCCACAAGATACAGTGAAAACATGGAGTAGACAAACGAAATGACTACTTGTGAGTTAGGCTCTTACAAAATCATACATATCAGATGTTAGGTAATCCACTTTGGGGGATGTGGAAGGAGCTTTCAACATAAAGTCCAGCTGTATTATTCATAACAACTACATAGTAAATCTTGTTTTGATTTGATCTCCCCAAAATCATACATTTCAGCAAATATTTATGATGCTGAATTAAAATAAATAAATAAATAAGGTAATTTGTTTTCTCAATTTCTTTTGCACAGTGAAATTAAAGAGTGGCTAGAAAGTGACCATTTCAAATTATAACTGAAAATTGCATTTTTATTAAATGTTAGAACATGTACCCATTAAAACCTTTATACATTTTTATGGCAAGTTTTCCCATTACATGAGAGGCTTTCTTACACAATTCAAGCTTAAATGGAGAACAGCGACCAAACGTAAGTTTGGACTAAAATTGCAAAGCTGTTAGCTATGTTGAGGGAAACTATGGCTGCACAATTGAAAACAAGATGGAAGGACAAGTTCACAAAAATACTTCATGTAATAGTGAACAATGGTCTAATAAAATAAGAAACAGAAGAAAGCCAAATCTGTTCTGCATATCAATACTAGATACATAAACATATTCCTGCACTGGTAAAATTTTTAAAATAATGTCTGTTTAGGGAAGACTTAATTTGAGCTTCTAGACTGTCCATGCTCAAGCATGGTTTTAGCATATTAGCAGTCCCAGTTTCTGGAATGATACTACTTGTATTCTTAAATCTGTTTAAAATTAACTACATGCTGGCTTAATTTCAAACAAATCTGAATGTATTTGCAGGATCAGAGTTTTAATGTGCTGAGTAGATGATCAATTATTTTCTCTAAATTAGTTACTGTAATTTGTTTCCAAGATAACAACACTGACAAACAATTTGCATGCATGCATTCAAAGCAGTATTTTACCTAAGGACTTTTTTTTTTGTTTTTCAGGTTGAAACATCATTTTGGTAATTTCATCAGACCCTCTGTATTTTGCTCTACTTACTCGATTTATATATCTGCCAAATCAATGATATATTTCACACAAATCAGGGTGAAATCCTACAAAAAAAAATGATCTTATTTGAGTGGTTTTATCAAAGTTTGAGAAGGACAAGTGGCATGAGCAGCAGCAGCTTACAGGACTGAGCCAATAATGTCTGGAAAGTAGAGGAAGCTGCACACACTAAAATTTAAATCTAACTCATTTATCTGAGTGTACTGAATTTTTATAGTTGTTTTGTATCATTAAATCCCGAATTAGATCCTTGGTGTGATCAGTTAGAAGAGAAATGAGCTGTCACTGTTGAAATAGTTTTTTGGGGTTTATTTGAAAGATGTGCTTTGTCAGGATTCCCATCCTTAGGGCCTAACCAAACCCAAGCATGTTTGGGACAGGAGCCTTGGTTATATTATAATTTACAATGAAGTAAAGAAAAATAAATTTACCTGTACTGATCTTTTCTTTTACATTGTTAAGTTCTATTTTACATTCTCCAAATGCATATTTGTGGGGTCAAATCTTGAAGAACCCTGTCCATATTTAGCAACCACAACAATCACAAAGTATCAGAGCTGATTAGGAACAGAAGATAACATTTAAAGTTAACTAACTAACCTGAGAAATAGAAATTGGTGAAACATGTATCAGCTCAAAATTCACTTTGACTAGTAAAGGGAAAAAAGAACAAAATGTTCAACACTGAATATTGTAGCAGATGGTCTCTCAATGAATTACCCATCTAACTCCAAATCATCTTTACATGCAGTATTTCATTTGCTAACCACAGAACAGGGGAAAATTAAAATGATTTTTAGCCAGTTCAAGAAGCTGTCTTTCTAATGCATGAACTGCTATCCATAAAGAAGACTGTACTCACTTCCTCCCAATCTGAACTACTTAAAATAAATAATTAGCTCACATATTTCTCATTGCATATTCCCAACAGCTGGATGTTCTGGGACATGGGGCATTTAATCCTATATTAAGGGGAGCAGGCTGGTAAATCTGAAAGTTGTGTCTGAATACGTGACCCATTGGTGGTCTGGGCTCAGCAACCAGAAGGCTTCCAAATAAAAAATGGCAAATGTGGCCTCAGAGACAGGCTGATGGGCGACCGTCCGATCTGGGGACTGTCACAATGAGATGCCTCCGAGTCAAGCCAAGACACATTTATGTCACTGGGCAGCACATGGTGAGGCAAAGTCTCCACTCGAGGTTATTGCCATGTTTTTTACATGCAACAAACTCACTCTACAGTGGAGGGGGGAATACACAGTGCAACTACAGTTCTTCCTTATGCTCAAGCAATTAAGAAAATAATGCAACCCATAGATGCAAATATCCAGGTACTTTTTAAATGCACACATCAGGCCACATGCTTTACATGTGACTTACACAGCTTCCTCCTTGTCCTAAACCATGTTTGTGCTTATACAAGTCTTAGACATGGAGATAAAATATGGGTACAAATACTTCTTTTCATAGGTTTAAGCAGCAGGTAAAATACTGGTTTCACTGTGAAAAATCACAAGTGAATCCCAATTTCAGCTGATTTCTGCAAGGCCAGAATATTTGGCAGAGTTCTCACAGTATGAGAGTTCCACTACTCCCTGTTTCTGGTACTGTTTTTGAAAAGCCTTACTTTAACCATATCTGAAAGACCCATTTAGGGAATCACGATCCATTTATTTCTATATTAAAGAGAGAAATGTATCTGAAAACCCAGTGTGGAAAAAATATCCTGCACCACTTAAAATAAAATTCCTCCCAGAGCCAGACAAGTTCTGACATTATCGATAGTGCTGTTGCATAAGGACAGATACAAACAGCAGTTCCATTACACACTGGCATCTAGTGCATTAGAAACATAAGTAGGAGTGAAAAGTCAGTGCTTGGAGATAGTCTTTTTTTTCACATTAATACTCTAGATATGATGAAAATCCTAAAAGGATTTATAAGCAAAGGAAAGAAAGCCAATGAACAAGCAAAAAGCTCTACGCATATTTTTAAAGAAAACAACACAAAAGGATACTTATGATTTTAAAGCTGAGTATTTAGCACATAAGATTGTTTTCTAATGGTTCAGCTGCAGAACCTATGTATGGTTATTATCACCTGATCTTACCAATGCATTTGTAAGTAACTTTACTCATGTATGTAAGCACAGGGATGGAAGCATTCCCTACAGAAAGCAAGATGATTAGGTTTCCTTATATCTGATTAAAATTCTAATAGTAAGATATGCAGTGAGTATTCAAGCAGATCTTCCAGATCTAAAATTTTGCAAGCTTGCACATGTTTTATTCCAGCTGTCTGTGGGGCTATGTAGGTATGAGAAATGCTGAACATACCTAGTAACTTGCAAGATCAGGGCACAGAAAGACAGGCTACAGGAATCAGGGCCTGATCCTGCTCGTTTTGAAGCCAGGAATATATTTACAGATATTAATGTTGCAGGATCAGCACAACAATGTTTAATAAGATAAACGTTTTGGAAAACAAATGGAAAGGAGAAACAAAGATATGCTGGCAGTAAGAAAAATTGTATAGAAGGGAGTTTGAAAGGACTACAGAAGTTATGCGCCTGAAAGGATGTTATGCTCTTGTATATAAATTAGGATAACATATTTTGATAATGATATTCAATATGTGTTGACAGTTTCATTCAAGGGCTGTCTTTGCACAGGTTTAATTTAATGGTGAGACTCTCATCCTTAACAGGTACCTATAAACTAAAATATTGCAGATAATGCCAAATTCAGAAAGGAAAAAAAAAAAAACCTAATCAAGCCTCTGATTAATACGAAGCCCCGATTCTGCTTAATTTTGCCACAGCAGGAAGCTTCAGCAGCAGCACACACTCTTGTCTTGTAGGAGAGCCCTCAGGGATGCCCGCTGGACTTGCCTGCGGGAGCCCCGCTTGGCTGGGACAGCGGAGGGGCTCCCCTGGAGATGAAGAACAGACCCCGGGGGCACCCAGCGGTTCAACAGCTCGCTCGAGGGCACACTTATCTGGTGCGTGAATGGGCTTTGGCACTTGATGCATAAGGCAGACAAGCCCATATCTATCTTAGTCCAGTCGCAGTGACATCATCTGGCTGAATCTGGGCATAAAAGAGTCCTAATGTCCTTCTTAGAAGTCTGCCAAGGATAATATAGATTCAAATGCAGGCTGCAAGAACACCCGCACTCTGCTGTGCTTATGGGAGCAAATGGGGTGCACGGGGGACATAGCCACTGAAACCAGTGGTATTAGTGACAACAGCAAAGGGTCTGAGGAAATTAGATCTGATTTTGCGTTTTTGTAACTCAAGTCAATAGTAGGGGCTTCTTGCATCTTTTGAGACAGCCACAAAGTGTTTTCCAAAGATAAGCAAATGAATGTAACCTTTACAAGCACTGGGAATAAAGTCCACAAACCATACAATGACTACCTAGTGGATGTTTATAACTAATCGAAGTAGTTATTATTACTAAAAAGTAATAATACCAAAAGCTTTGATATTTTAACACAGTTTTAAGCCTCCCAGAGTTTAATCTTTGAATAGCCCTAACAAGAGAGTTAAAAGTGTTACACCTTTTTATTTTCATATATTATATATGAAATATTACATATATATAATACATGTAAATAAAAATGAGCCAAGAGATTTTACTATTCCTTATCCATCTCATAATGTGCAGCTACCATCACAACGAGCCCATTACATACGCTTCTTTATCTCAAGTTCATGAAAAAAACCTCCTTGTAAGACTTCATGCACATACCACATCTCAGAACTGCTCCTTCTATGTAAGTGGCTCTTCTATACGCAAAGTCCAATGAGGGGACTTTGTTTTTTTCCTGTGGCGTGAACTTTTGTTCAGTCACTTTGTGCCCACATTGTTGATCATCAACCCTTTGATTACTACACAACTGAAAACTTGTTTTCTTGGGGGAGCTGAAAGTCATTAGGAACTAAATGTACCATAATAGTTTTAGACCTTTGCCTGAAGAGACACAGAATTGCTTACAGAAGCATTTTCTCTAAGACCTTATGCCTTTTCTTCATTCTGTCCCCAGTTTTCATGTCTAACAGGCTGATCTTATAAAATGGCCCAGATCTTTGTTCCTCTTCTGTTCATGGCGAAGGTAAGACCCTCACAAGTTTAGTAGTCCTAAAAAGTTTACTCCATTGTTTTGGCTTAAAAAAAGACTGCTTACTGGAAAGTTTTGTGGGTATTCATTCTGGTAGACCTGGTGAAAAATACACAACCAAGTAGCAGGGTGACCTGATTTTCTCAATGAGCTTGGGAAACACTGTTTATAATTGGGACCATGGATTGTTATGATTCAGCTGAGAATTACTGAAAATGGCAAGCATACATAATAGTAAATTATTAGAAAAGGTGGTAAGGATTCTACTGTATTTCCACTAACTACCCCTACGGAAAATCATGCTAAACAGAAAACTCATTTCCAAGGGCAGAAGAAGCCCTGACACTTTATTGCTAGATTCTATAGCAATTGGAGCTCACTTACAGTAACCTTATAGTACTCTATATAAACTGAGAAGCTTGTATCAAATTCAGGCTTCCATTTAAAATAGATATTGCAGATATTAGGCTTCAATTAAAGAAGAAAAATAACCTTCAGTGCTTCTTTTTTTTTAAAGGTGAAGTATAAAAAAAAAATCACCAAAGTAGGTGAAAATTATTAAATTTCTCCAAAAAATTAAGATGAGCTTTCTTCTATTTCTTGAGACAGTAAAGTTTGTGATTCACAGGGTAACTGGTATCAAACACAAGTTAATGAAAGCTCTTACAAGCAATTTTATTCCTATCCATAATGGCAGACATTTATAAAATCAGAAGAATTTATCATTTGAGTTCACCTTAAAAAATAACTTATAAAGCAGTGATATATGCAACATAAAACAGTTCAAGAGGGAAGAGGGAAAGCAAATTTTAATAATTAAAATGTAAACGTGAAAAAAAAAAAAAAAGATGGAATAAAAGTCCCTACTTCTCATTTCTACTTAAGATGTCATGTGATAATATTTTACAATGTCCTGTGGGTCTATATATGTATGTGTGTATTTCTATATCACACACACATACATATACATTAACCCACACATGTACATACACAGACAATTGTTTGCAGTTCCATCTTGGGCAGTTCTGTTACGCCACTTTTTATAGTTGTCTCAATCATGTTTGGGACCCACTTTCTTGACAAAACAGGGGAGATGATAGAAAAAAAGAAATGGTGGGTCTGATTGTGTCTGAGATCCTTTTGTTAAACTGTACACTGGGATGAATAATTTTCTTCTGCAGTAGCTCTCTGAAGAGGGCCAACTCATTGTGGTCTTCATGGCGAGACTTGTTAACGGATCACACACTCATTGTCATGCTAGGGGAGTACTGAAAAAAGAGGAATCCACATTTTAGCAACTGTTTTTTCCCCTCAGGTAACTAAAACCACTTCTGGACCACAGCAATGAGTTCAAATGTCAACACGCTCTTTGAACTTCCTCCTAAATTCGTCCTGTAGGCCTGTGCTAAGGCTGTAGTTCAATTTGTGGTATTGTAACTTCTGTTATGCTTCTCTCATTATGCAAAAATACAGGTATTGCTGATAAAGCCAACTCCCTTGAAGACTGTTTTGGTGTTACCTGGGTGGTGTCAATACCTCACTGATGCTTTCCATGCCTTTTCCTGGTCCATGTTAGCTACTGAGCGGTTTAGCTAGGTAGGTGGTTAGTCTCAAGTAGATCAGCTGCATTATGGTTAGCTGAACCACATAAATATTTTGGAGAGCTTTGTATTACTTTATGGGAAGAAAGGAGTAAGGATATGTATGACTAGAATTAAACTAGGTTTTTGGCCTGTATTATTCACTATTACCAATTCTAGGAGGGAAGTTGAATCAAGGATCAGCAGCTATTCTCCTTTATGTGAACCAAAAATTCAATCACCACATGACATTATTATTGTAACACAAGTTGAACTGCAGCCCATATACAAGTTATAGTTGCCCTCAGGTTAGCAGCACTTTATTACAATAATCAATGGGACACCACAATGCCTAGAAGTGCGCATCTATACAACTAATTTGTTTTTCAATTGAAAATTGCAGACTGCAGAAACAGTTAATTTGGCCTAGAATCTTCTAAGTAGAGTAAAGAGTTCAAATGCAAGAAGTATTAGCATTATGAAAACTGATATAAGAAAGAGGAATATAAATTTGCCTTTGCAAACCTGACATGCAGTAAAAATCCTGCCAAAGCTGGAGTTTCAAGCTGGCCACTTCCAAGTGTCCAAGTAAATTGCAACAACATTTTGAATGGGTCTTCCTTGTCATGTAAACTACATAGAATGGACCACTTGTGTAATGTCTATTTTGTCCCTTGTCATGTCTCTGATAGTTTGTTTGATTTAAGGCTTACTCCCATCATGTCCTGCTGAGCACTCCCACAGTGAGCCAGTAGAGCTAGTAAGAACGTGCTTATCTTTAGCCAAAGTCAGAGAGACACCAGCTGAAATGCTTAAAGCAAAGCATCTGTTCAAGCGATTTCTTGTATCTGAGCCAAAGTACCTGGGTAATCACTTTGGACAGGGAATTTAAAGATGATCTAAAGGCGTTTGTGATTTTTAACTTATTAGCCAAGCATTGTTGCCCATGCCCAGCCAAAACTCCTGGTGAACTGAACAGCAAATTTGCTTGAGATAGGACTTCATAATACTGCCTACTCTAAGCAGCCAAGTAATAAAACATGAATCAGAAAGCAAGACAGTTCCCAAGGACTACAATGTGACTCTTGTTAGAGAGGAACCAATACCTAGAAGTAGACTAGAATGCATGTGGCATGTATAACGCATGCCTTGTAGGCATACATCTCATGCAAAACCTTAAGAAAACTGGATCCCAGGTTTTTCCAGATAGGAAAACAACATCTAGGAGCACCTAGAATCTAGTAAGCATCTGAGAAAACTGATTTTCTTTTGAATACAACTGATGTCCTTCTTTTCATAACCTTAGTTTGCTGAACTGGCCTGCCTGCTGATCAGTACAGGCAATGTATGCCAAAATGGGAGTCAAGGATTACCATGACCAAGGATTACATTTAATGGAGCTCCTATGGTTACTGTTTTTCTGGCAGATATTGAAACATAAGTCTTTTTGGAGTGTACGAACCCATTTTTTCCAATACGCCACACAATCTGAACACGTGCCCTCTTTATGAAGACACCAACAGCTAACATGCAGAAACTCTTCCTTTTCACTAAAGAAGCAAACCCAAAAAACCCCAATGTCTGATTCCCATGAAATTTGTCATACAATTCGACTGTTTTGTGATCTAGCAGAAACTGTTTATTCATCATAATTTCAGAGTTGAAGTTCACCACTGGCATAGCTAATGAAGTTGCACTCACTTCTGGCAGCAGTGATTTCCAGTAAGAATAGAAGTGTTGAAGTCACTCAGCACTTCTGAAAAATCAGGGCACTCCTATTTAGGAACCTAAACGTGGATTTAGAAACCCAGCTCCAGGCACATGAGTATGAAAATACCACAGTCTTGTTTTGTAATGTATTTTACACCACGTTTTGATGCCTCAAGCATTCTCCATATTAAAAAGCATTATTTGTCCCAGAATGAACACTAGAGGGAACCTTTGCTTTTTCTAGCTGTAATAGCACACTGCATCTTTGCAACATGAAATCTACTGGTGCTCTAATTATACACTTCTATGTGAATCCTGTTCTAAAAGACATTCCCTGCAAAGCACATTGTTTAGGAGTCAAAGGTTGGGCAACCACACATTGAAACACTCAGATGTAAGGATCTGTCAACTCTGTGTATTTAGGCTGCCTGACATTGTGCATTACTGAATATGTGAGATGTAATTATTACTGTTTGACAGATCTAACTTTGACAACTGACCTCTTAAACTAGAAAAAGAGTTTCTGCGGTAAATCTACACCTCCCACATTTTCCAGTTTCAGCTCAACTTATAGCAGTCTTTTGCACAATTTTTTGTCAAACCAATACCCTAATTTTAGAAGCTAGTATAAAACACATAAGGCAGAGTACTGTATTACAAGCACACTACAAAACCATTCTTGCTGTTATTTTTATTTTTTTAAACAAAACAATAGAAACAAAGGTTCACAAAGTGAAAAAAAAACAAACCAAACCTAGGTAAAGGGATACTTACGCTCTCACTCTGAAAAGGGTTTAGGAAGTTTCCACCCATCTCACCATCATCTCTGGGAGTGCCAGGCTGATTACTCATGCTCATATTACTGGGAGAATTCTGTTAAATAAGATTTTAAAATACAGATTAAATGTTGAAGATTCTAGTTCATTTCCCAGCTTCACCAAGTGTGCCAAAGGCACGTTCTACAGGATACTGTAGTGCACTGAGATCCACTGTGACATGCACTGGGATTTCTGAAGATGAAAAATAAGCCTCTAAAGGGTTCTGCATGATTCAGTCACTAATTTTAGCCTGTAAAATACTGTTTTCTTCCCTGAAGCAAGAATTACTCACCTGCAATTCTTGTTTTCAGGTTATAGTCAGCATCTTCTCCTACTGAAGTCAGGAAAAGCTATAAATGGCTGCAGCAGGTATACGAGGTACCTCTGTCACTACATTAAACCATGTGGTCAAATTCAGCAAAGTCTGTGAGCCTGTGCCTTGACATATGTGACATGAATATGTACTTAAAGGTAGACCTACAGATGGATCTGGTCTACACAGACCTTCACAAAGGCCTGTGTCTGGGGTCTTTGTTCACAGTTTATTGAAATACAGTTTCACAAGTAGTTCAGAAGTGTGGTTCAAGTGCTAAACCACTTCACTGAGCACAGCTAATACACAGCATTTATAGGTAAAAGAGTTAACAAGTGTATTTAGAGAAAAGACTCCTGAGTAACAGCCGGCCACTGGGGTGGGCTTGCAAACACTTTCAAGAGGAGCTGCACATTTCCTTTCACAGAGTATAATGCAACAGTATTCTAATCTACCGTTTCAGTGCCTAGGTGCAACTGAAATGCTAATAAATAACACCAACATAAAGGTTTCTGAAAAGAAATTCCTTTTTTTTTTTTTTTTTTTACAGGCATGGACAACCACCCCTGAAATGTTCAGAAAATGCTATCCAGATTCAGTTACTTAAAGAAAGGGTGAAATAAGATAATTGTCACAGAAATTATTCAGAGTCAATAGCTAATACATGATTATTACAGACAGTACAATTAGTTAGGTGTTTACAAAGTTGATATGTGGTACCCTACCATGCCTGAAGCATGAGCAATTCTCTTTCCATCACTGTTAAGACTCCTACTTATAGAGGATTTCTAATGGAAAAGAAGCAGTCAGGGAAAGAGGAGAATGAAGTAATGAATTTCATTATGAAGCATTTAAGCCTATCACAGTTCTTCCCTTGATTTTTTTTTTCAATTCAGAAAAACTGAATGCAATATTACTGTTGAGATTTTACTTCTACAAATGCAAATTGTTATGTCACAATAAATTTAACACAAACCTACTGCAGTCAATGGGCAAGCTAACAAAATGCAACTCCAAGTAGTGATCTTGATCATAATGGTTCTAAGAATCCTAAGTGAGTTTGTCCTCTTTTTCTTATGTTATTTTCAACCACAATCTTGACACCATAAGTCTGTTAGCACAGTGATTTTTTGTTAAAAAAAACCCAGGTATTTTGCACTTTGAAAATACCTGCATGCCGTCTTCATTTAGAATAATTAAATCTCCAGTAAGTCAAACTTTGAATGAAAAACTGGAAACATTAAAAAAGAGAAAGTCTCTTTAATTTCTTGGCACTTTCCTCAGAACTACAAAGGCTATCCTGCCCTGGTACTTTAAAAGATGTACATTGGAGCGTTCACTGGACAGAAAATGGGTGGGATAGCTATGACTTCTGCTTCCCCTTCATACCATATTCCTGCATGCTCCATTTCATAATCAAGAAGTTCCATGTTGACCACTGTCCATAATTTAAATACTGCAACTTATTCCACAGTTTCACAGATTTACTTCACCTCCAAGGAGAACAAAAAGTGTTGTTCTTAGCTTCACCAAAAACCACAACTGAAATCAGTTACTTTTTACTACTACATCAGTAGAGTGGTACACCTGACTGCTGTACATACTATCGGCTTTGTAATGTTTTTTGTACAGTTAGTGAAAAGCTGCTGCTAAGTTTTCACCATATTCCCCTGAGGGAAGATCACTGTTCTCAGCCTGAATGGAGAAGTATGTATATGGGTACAGCTTGGTGTGTTGATTTTCAGTTATAGGTTAAATATTAAATCAATTACATAAGCGACATGCAAGTGTAACTTTTTTATTAGTACCTAAAATGCAGCTTACAAAGTTGGGTCAAAACACCTGCCTTAGTCCTTTTGCTTTCTTCAGTCTAGTTCATTGTTCCTGAGAGTGAGATCCCCAGATCTACAGGAATCACTGGATAACATGTCCGTCAGAGACAACTAAAAGCCCAACTAGTTGATTAACATCAGACAATAAAGTTTGCTATTCAGGGAAGTTGGTATAGCAAATATTTAGGGATCCACAGACTGAAAAAGGTTGAAAACTATGGCTTTAGTTCAACCACAGCTACTGTACCTTAAGCAGGAATTAATCCAGGGAAGTCCTGTTGCCCGTGTTATGCAGGAGTTCATACTACACAATTGTATCAGTCCCTTCTGGCCTTAAAATCTATGAATATAAAGTTTAAAACCTACTAAGGCCTTGTCACATTTATTTTATATGATGATCTTGTGCTTTTGTTTTTTCCTGGGGGATTCACCCCTGTTTTATCTGTGTAGCACAAAGCTTCGAAATGCTGCAATTGCAACAGTATGCTAGCCCCAAAGGTTCAAACTCCTGACATAAACACTTTTACAGCAACTCCCCATGCTTGTTTTTATGGCCAGTATGGGGTCTAGCATTGTAGCACTAGCTGAATTTTTCCAAAGCAAGTATGCCTTTGATGTCTGCACAAATTCCATGGGCAGTGCAAGCAACACTGGTTATTAACGCTTATTTAATATGCATAATTTCAGTTCACTTACTTCCCCTATCGCAATCTACTTCCTAAAAACTTCATGTTTTGCCATTCAGCCAATTAAATTAAAATCTCCACTAGAAAATGTAGCTCTGAATTCCGTGAGCTCTACTGATTCTACCAAGACTGGATTAATATTCTACATCTCCTGGGAGCTGGTAATCACCTCCTCTAACACGCATTTTACTCCACTGAAGTCCTGTGCCTGGACTGGAGCATCACACACCCCAAACTGTGTTAACTTCAGTGAACAATTTCCATTACTGGAAATCTATCTGTGAAGAAGGTAACTGCAAGACTAGCCAGTGATGTATGTGGGGAGACTGTTGCCTCAGAAAGAACAATCCTGGTAATTGTATACAAAATTGGAAGGCAGCCACATAATAATTTTGCATGCATCAACCCCAGAAATCTACTATTACTTGCAAGTAGAACTTTTCCATTCAGGTTTCAAAAGCATTATGTACTACTACCTATATGAAATTACCAAAGCTGTCCACACACTTTTACTACTTTCAGCAAAGGCTGCATATTGGGTAGTGTTACTCAGGAAAGGATGTAATGACATAACAGGACAATTCTGTTAATTCCAAAGTTAGCAGTGTTTTTCTTCTAGTTATTTGGAAAAGACATGCACCAAATGTGATTTCCATGAATTACTTATTAGGGTTAACAAATTACAAGACTCCCAGGTGAATTTTTGGATCCCAGTTTTCAGGGCTCCTGATACTTGTGTTAGTAGACATATACTGATACTTAAGAACAGTGAATTGAATACAGGCTTTTAAAAATAATCCTATGGCAAGCTAATGGAAATGTTTTTGATTTTTTCCTTAAAAATATTTGCAGTTTGCAATAAAAATACTGAAGAAAAAATATGGACATTAATTTTAAAAGTGCTGTACACTTATTATCTCATCTGAGGCTTTTACTGAATCTATTACTGCACATCTAAGCATAGAACAGCTAAGGCAACTTGGTCATTTCAACTCATCATTTTACTCTTTGTAGAGCCTGAAAATGTTGCAGATCTTAAAAAAGTACAAAAATGTAGGACTGCTACAGACGCTGCTTCCTCACAGGAGCAGCAATGGCCTTGGACACATATCGCTGAGATACTTTTCTCCAGGAAAGACGGATGCTAAGCACACTTTACAGTCTACCCTGCTCCCATACCACACCACCAGAAGACCACAAACTGGGGAACCATAAAGGGTGGTCCTCCTCCTTTTTGGATATACAAATATGTATCACTAAATGAAGAACAATTCTTGTCTTCTGAACACCTGAAAGTATATTCTCAACAAACTCACACCACTAAATTCTGTGTTAACCCATGGGAATTCAGGTGAGCATCCTGTTCCCTACACGTCAGCATCTCACCCTAGCTCCTGAGCACAGACCCACAGCAAGGTCCCTGGCGTGACTGGAGCACACGCAGACCAGCCTCAGGCAGATCTGAAACAGTGAAGTCAGCACCAGGAGAGATCTAGTGACAGCTCCGTGGTACTCGGTCCTGGGGCAGCCAAAATACACCGCCAGTTGATACGTTCAAAACAAACTCACACTCCTTTCTCGGAATATTGCTAAGAATTTTACTACAAACGAATGAATTACAAAATTGAAACTGAAATAATCTCTTCATCAATTTCTGTATTTGTAGAGCAAAAGTACAAAACTGCAGGGAGATTGTTGTAGTGATGTATTTATTAGTTCCAGTCCGTTACATCTGAAAATGCTGAGTACAAAACATCGTATTTTGCAACGGACAGATATAGGTCACTTTATCGATACCAAATAATCTAACTCCTAAATTAATGATCACATATGTAGTAGTTCTATTTTTATGGAAGAAGTGACACATTCAAGCACAATATTATTTTGAAGATGCAAAATCCCTGCAGGTTAAACTCACATTCATTTTCAGCTACTAAATGGCTGTGATATCAAAATAGTGTTTCTTCTGAAACTTCTTAATCTAGCTTTTAGGAATTTATAGTAATGATTATGATATTAACACTGCCTTACAGAGGTGACAAAAGCAATCGTGCAGTGCATGAACGTAACATCCTAATGACATTTTCCCAAATTTACATTTAACTAGAATTGATTATTAGAACTACACTCATTTGTCTTAAAAGTAGGGAAGATTAAAACATGACAAATCAGATTATGAACAGGATATAATTAATCATATTCATTAATACACATCATTATACAGCAGGGTATAAGTCTACTTATACTCCCATTGATTATAGTTTTTAAATTTTCAATTAATACTAATTCTGTCTTCATAGCCTCCAAAGAGTTGACAAGCAGAAAATGTAGATACATAACAAAAAACTAACAGAGAAAAAGAAAATATATTTAGAGTGAAACATTCTAAAAATTCCAAATATTTGATTAAATACTCACTTTGGAAATACTGTCCATGTCTCCTGAGCCTTAAATTAAAATAGACAAGTATTCAGTTAGTTTTGATCTGAAGTTAACCTATGATTTTTTTTTCATAGTAAATAAATAGTTTAACAGTAATACTTTAAGGCATAACCAACCATACATTGTCTCACTTCCTTCCTAGTGTCTCTCTTAATAAAAGCTTACAGTCAGTACCGAATAATGTCAGCCATTTCTCTGTGTACACAGCCAGTGCAAAAAGTGAGAAGCGAATGAAGGACACACTTCTGATCTGCATTGGTCATTTGGACAGTATCCTTTCAGGACGAGACAGCCCAGCACAACTCAAGGAACTGCATGTCCAACCTCCCTGTCCTCTCAGCCATGGAAGGGTACAGGAAGTGTAACTAATTTGGGGCATATCCACCTATGGGAAATGTTGCTTCATCTTGAGAAAAAAAAAAGCAAAATCATGGCAAACTAGTAGAAGTTGATACTCCTGGGAAAAAAAAAGATACCACTATTATCACTAAGGTCAGCTAGGAGGGTTTTATCAGTATCTCTGCTCCCAGAAGCAGACACCTACTACTGAAATTGACTGAAATGACATCAATTTTTGATGCATTACAAGTACTGATGATGACAGTACCTTTCAGAAGAAAGCACATTATTGTGAGGACCAGAGTAACAGAAAGCAAATAAAATTAAATATAATGAGTGGAAGACTATTGAAAAGAATTTTTTTTCACATGTTGTAGCTCTCACTTTGGAAAAACCAAGAATAAAGGAAATATAACTTTAGGATGGATGTATCAAGAAAAGCATTTTTAGCAGCAACAGACAGTAAACAATTCTGGTCACCTATTTTCAGGAAAGACAAATTCTAGAAAAATATTGAATGCAAAACTAGAAGAGTGTCTGAGAAAAATGAGAAAATGGAGTTGTGGGAGGAGACTGAAATCGTTTACTATACTTAGCCAGGCAAAATAACATAAGAAGGAATATGATTTCTCTCTATAAATACATCAGATACATAAATGTTGCAAAGAATTATTTTGTCATGGCCCTAGGAAAAGATTTATTTCTAATCATCAGAGCTAAACAGATATCCATTAGAAGGGCTGTGGTCAAAGAAGCCGGAGAAGTTCAAGATGGATCTTGACCAGTTTATCCATCTGATTATGAGACACAGCTGTCTACTGCAGCATGGAAATGAACGCAGCAAATCTCTCCCAGCCCTCTTCTCCTTAAAGAACTCAGGTTTCAGTTTAGATATGAAGTTAACCCTAGCAAGCAGTCATCATTAATTTTACTAAGCACTTAATCACTTTCATTAGAGAAAATAACTGACCAAATTCTAGGTACACATAAAATCCTTCCATAACTGTTTCAATTTAATTTTTTCCTTTTACTTAAGAAATAATTCTCATGCTATAGGAAGTGACAGAAAAAGATGATTACCTTTTACACAGTTTTTCATTTATTTGAATGTAATATGTGTCATTATTAATTAAAGCAACAATCCATTTTAGGATTGTAATATGTAAAGAAAGGCTGTAAAACCACAGGGTATCCTTATGCAAAGTAATCTAGGAACTTCAGGAACATGCTTTCGTGAAAAAAAAAGGTAATTCTATTAGGAGATAGATGCCTACTGCTGAATTTTAATCGTTCAGAACATGTCTGCTAAATGAGGTTTGATGGCTTAGTTTTTTTCTCACCTTGTCATAGACTCTTCAAATTTCTTCCTTCATCTTATCTGTTTTTACTTCCTGTCTCATAACCTCCAATTTCTGGGTTACAAGTGATAGATCTCCATCCACCACGGTAGTATAGACTTAAACGGTATGGAGTTCAGGTTGGTCCATGCCTGTGCTGGGAAGGTGGCAGAGATTTTCACTGGGGATAGAAGTGTGGGGAACACTGGTAGCTTGGCTTCTGCCTGCCTGAACTGTATTCAGCTTGCTTGGGTTTCTCTCCATAAAGGAAGAATCTGCTCATCAAGGTGCTGCTGGTGCTGCTTGTGGGCATCAGGCCAGCTCCCAGATGTGGAAGAGAATCTTGCTGGTGGACCAGGGAGACAGAAGAAGAAAGATCTCAAGTCTTTGCAGCTGAAGGTTTCTTCCTGTTGTTGCCTGCATGACTAACACCCCTTGGTCCAGATAGAACTGAAGAGTACAACACAAGAACTGTATTCAGAGCTACTGGCCTGGTGTTAGGGTATGAGCAGAAATAAAAACAAGGTATTTACCCTGTGGGTATGGAAGAAGGCATAAATGCAATTTATTTAGCTACGGGTTGTTTCTTAAATCCCTTTCAAAAGCCTATTATGCTTCCAGCAAAGAGTAAGAGCAAAGAGTTTGCTAGGACAGTCAGGAGATAAAGCAGCCTGTGTTTTGCAGAGTTGTGGAAGGCTTCTCATGTAGATACGAGTCCTTCAAAAATCACAGTGTCAGAAGTCAAGCAATATGCTGATCCTCCTGCCTCTACATGCCCTGACAAGAATTCATGTTCTTTTGGGTGCATTAAAATTGGCCCTGCCTGAAGCTGATAAAGGGGATAGAGTAATAATACTCACACTTAGCAGACATGTGACTAAGTATAGAACAAATGAGGATATCAAAATGTTGGAATAACACCACCTTAACAGATACCTTAAAATATGTAATAACGTACTTCCAGGTAATTGATGAGAACATACACCAGCATCTCATAATGACACCTTCCAATATATTCAAAGAGGAAGGAGGTAAATGAAAATGGTTCTGAAGTCTTCACCTTTACATTACTGTGATGGTATGCTTTTAGACAGGTTTTCATCAACTGGATTAAAATGTATTCCAACTCATAGGCTTAAAAATTATCTTAATACTTCTTATTGATGTATATACAGCTTTTTCAGTTTTTAGAAGATTTTTACACACAGTCTTCTACATAACTCAGAGAACTAGTCATAGAAAATGGCACTAGTCTTTGAAAATTCACAGTGTTTATAATTGTTACTATCATTACCTAATGATCCATTCATATGATGTGAATCCATTCCACCCAGTCCACTCATAGGTCCATCTGACCCAGGCCCCATTGGAAACTACAAAAGGATCAGACATTAAAAACTGGTATTACTGTACAATTTTTTGTACACAGTCTAGTGAAAAGAAAATATTCCTCAGGAAAAAAAAAAGTAAAGGAAAAATGTACAGTCCCAGCTCTGAATGTGCAAGTCAAGTGAAAGTCTTTCATGTGAAGACTACAAAAACATCATTGCTTTTGTTCACTTTTTCCAATGTTACCTTCATGATTTTTGGAAACTCTCACCTCTGTAGGCTAGAACATAATTTAGGAATAATTTATAATTTACTTCACCAATTTCTGCATGACTTTCAAACCTAGTGCTAGTGCTGACCAAGCTCTACTCCCACTGAAATTATAGGAAGCTTTACAATTCTCTTCAATGAGTAAGTGATTAATTAACAGCTTTCAAATCTCACCTTATCCATGCTGACAGTTGGACTACTATGCATTACTTTTGCAGCATGAGCAGTTTCTGTCCAATTTTTGATATTAGTCTTAAATTTAGTTCTTCAAAAACTTAAAGACAATAACATTATAGAAAAATTTTTAAAATTCACCGCATAATGATTTAGCAATATCTAAATATCTGTATTTTTAAGTTCTATTTGCCTTATCTTCAAAAGGACCAACATATGGATTGTGATTAAATGAAATATGGTTGTAATCAGAGAAATACAATAGAACTGAAGGCACACAGAAAGATCAGAGAGTAACAGGTTCTATATAAGAATCCAGATTTTTGTCAGCTCTAGAACTGTTGAAATTTAGGCTAAAATAGTCACAAGTTAACTAGTACATTAGGCAATTACTTAAATGTTATCAATAGGTTTCATTCTTAACATCCAATTTAAATAAACAGGGAACTTTGTTTCTTCTCAGAGGCATTTAATTTATCATTTTTTACAGAATGTCAGGGCAACATAATAATGGGTCACTTTCAGCAATTTTCTCCTCCCTTTTCAAGGGTAGGTACTTTTTTATAACAGAAGTATGAATCCTGCAGAACCTAATGCTTACTGGCAGCCCCTAGGATGACATCTTATCACACAGAAGTCTATTGCACCGCAGTGTGACAAACTACATCGCCCCCACGATCCACATGCAGAAGTTTCTACAGTGTTTTCCATATGCTCCAATCATTATTTTGCATATATTGGCATGATTGATTTGGGAAACATTAAAAAGTACATGGCGGGGGGAAGCAACTGAAGTATCACCCATAAAAATGGAAAACTTAGTATTAACAATATGTGATGGAAATGTAGTGTTTGGATCAAGAAGGCTGTACAATTCAATTAAGTATATAACTAGATTCATATTTACATTAGGTCTGTTGGGTCCAGGTGGTACTGCATTCATTAAAGTGTACATGTTGTCTCCAGAGTTGGTTGAATCTGTAATAAGAGATTATTTTAAGTGCTAATATATACCTTTCAATAAAACTACTCACCTAATACACTTCCTGTCATTTTGTTCATATTATTTCTGTGCCTGAATCACTGATACACAGTGGCAATATAATGCAAGATTTCATTCCCTTTCTATCTATTGCTACCACACAACAGAGCTATGAAAAGAAATAATTGCTATGGTCCCTAAGTGACTACTTCTAGACCCTAGTTTTATGCATGACTGTTAAAAGGTTTATAAATCACTAAGTATCTGTAACTATTTAATTCCATAAAACCTTTTTCCTGAAATTTCAAATTACTTCACTCATCTTCAATGTTCTCTAGAAAACAGGAGTTTCTTTCTTATCAATACTTCCTGTAATTTGTTTTCCATCTGTAATAAATGATAAATAGATTCTCATTATATGGCCTGCAAGTTAGTATAGCACATGAAAATTTTTTATTCTCATCCACACCAGTCTATTTGATTTTGGATATATCTAACTATTCTGTGGAACACTGTGCAAAGATTCTCACTCTAAGGACAGCTTTAGCTGATGTATCTTCATGACAGAGTGTGGTGCAATGCTTCAAAAAAGCCCTGGATCCAAAACCAACAGAACCATCCTGTCACAAAATGGTGCTTAACCTAGTCAATTCTGCCAAGAGTTTAATTTGGCCTTGCCAGGGGTTGACAGCTATATTGTACCTCAGCCCTCTTCCTGCAAGCAATAAACATGAACTTTCAGGTGGAGCACCTCCAGAGTTCAAATGCAGGAGTCAATCCACAAAACTCTTCCGGCTGAATTTAACCTGAACTTAAGAAACCAGCCTAAGAACAATTAGTAGATACAAATCACTCATTCTGTTCTCCAGCTTATCCTCACCGCTAACACACACAAAGTCTTAACACCTTTCATCAATATTTGTATGAAGGAGAAGGCAAAAAATGCAGCAGATAGTAGACAAATTATGCAGTAATATTTCTCAAGGCAACTTGACAAGAGATAGTCCATGTAATGAAAAGGTTTACTGAGAGGAGAATGACCTAAGGAAAGTCTAAATATATCCCTAAGGGGACAGCCTGATCTGAAAACATATTGGCAACTCTGGAAAATCAGTACCTCTGTGGTATCTGTGGAAAGAATAAAGAATAGCTTAGTACTCTGCACCTAGATCCTCCAGATGACCATTCCACCTCTTTGAACCAGATTTTTGAGATTAATAACATACACAAAAATCACTGCTGATCTGTAATTCCTTTTCCAAGACAAGGTGATGGGGAAGTTTTGAGTCAGAAATAGCAAAAGCAAGAAAGCTGACACCACCAAAATGTGTTGGAACTGAGATATGGCCTGACGTCCTGCAAAAATGTATTTTTATGTACAGTGGGAGGTTAAAACCAAGGGTTTTGTCCATTCCTAAATCTTTCCGACATAGTCTTCTAAGCATTAATTCACCAGGTGAGTAAATAATTCCATTATATACAGAACACCATTCATCACTAGAACATTCAAATATGCTGTTTGAGGAAGAGGGAGAACAAAAAGCTTTTACCCTTACTTTGATAAGTAAAATGAGCACATAAAAAGTTATTTTTAACATTCAATAAGATAGGCAAAAAGTTCTTCATCCACCAGATCCTTCTGCAACACACATCCCTGGCTCTACCCATGTTCTGCTAGTCCATGTAAAAATACGTATGGGCTGGCTGAGCCATGGGAACCCTCGGAGATGGTCTGTCTCAGAGGCAAGAAAGTACCTTTGCAGAATTCTCAGATGGCCAACTTCTAAGCGTTTTTATACTTAGAAAAGAGAGCCTCAGAACTTTGAGTCTCTAACTGAAAACAGGAACCATCTTCAGCAGAAGCTTTATTTGAGCTGCACACAGATAGCCTAACATGTGCCATAACTGCAGTGCTGACTATTTTAAAAAGTGCAGGCTGTCCACGTGTTTGTTTTATGTTAAAAGAGACTCTAACTTTTAAATGCCAGCTAGCACTAATTATGTTTTTCACTGATATATGAACAAGGAAGGCCTATGATTTATCTTAGGTTGCATTGTTTTAAAGCCCTGGAACTGTATTTAATTAAGTTATTATATTGGTGCAAGAAGTTTTCATGACCAGTTAGGAAACCTCCCTACTCTCTTGTGCTATAGAGGGCAGCAAGAACATGTAGGACGTAAGGACTGAGGATGCTGTAACATCACTGAGGTGAACAGATCCCTCTTAGCTGGTGAAAGTGAGTTACAAAGGCAGATACTGGCCAAAAGGAGTAGCTATTGAATACTGGGTTACACAAGATGTAATGAGTTTCATTTTAGCAGATTTCTGATGATGCTCATGGGGGAGGATAGCATTTTCCACATCCTGCAGTTCCACTTCCCTATCAGAATCTTTGCTGAACACTGATAGAGGGAAATACTTACATCTAGTTGACCAGCCATAAGCCTTGAGGAGCTAGCTAGCCATCCCAAACTCTCCCATCATACTCCTTGTTTCCTCAAACCTTAGTAGGAATGTGTCTAATCTTTTGCATGGTCAAAATCTCCATGTGGTCCGAGTTGCAAGATACAGACCATGTTACTTAGGGAAACAATGGGGCAGTTGAAGCTCTGGGAACAGATCACTGGTGGGACCTGATGACTGCTCCTCTGGGGCCCTGCTCCTCCACTGCAAGACAGGGGAGAGCAACGTGTTCAGCGTGACCCTGATGTCAACCAGATGACACAGCCACAGGACGCAGCACATTGCTCAAGAGCCACGTGTTGGACAGGTCTATCCCACAGGATATTTCAGGGAAGTTTCACCAGCTTCAGAAATCTGATTCCCGAACTGGTGGAATTGTCCCAAAGAACATTAACAAAAGTAAATAAAGACTGCGTCTTCTTTTGTTTTTAACTTGTTATTGCTGAAATTGTGCAAGAAAAGATGGACTCAAAAGCCGGAGAACTTAATTACTTTGAACTGCAGGGATACAATGCTTTGTATCTCTGCAACATAGCAGGGAGAGAAAAAGAGTGAAAGCACATGAAAATACCTGATACAGAAAGTATAAAACAATAACTTATCATTATTTGATTCTTTATCAAAATCAAAGTCTGAAAAATAATGTGTCGACTTCCTAAAAAAACTATTATTTTTTATTATTTCTGAGCACGTTTCAGTACCTGCAGGACTAGGCATGATAGGTGTTCCTGGTGGCCCTCCACCTCCTGGAGGACCCTAGAGAAAATAGAAAATGTCAGTTAGCATGAAAGGAAGAAAATACTGCAGTAAAAAATGAACAGAGTACAAAAAGAAAAAAAGTATTGTGAATGTCGTGAGTAACTCTGGTAAAAACATGCACGTTTTCTGATTAGCTAGTGAAACAGCTCATCACAGATTAAGACAAGGTAACCGGTCATCAAGCTCTGGCATGGACTTCTGATGTATGTAGGTATACAGACACAAGAATATCCATTAGTCAATAACTCTGTGTCATGCTGTGAGTCAGACAAGAGAAATACTTGGAGGAAGGCCTAAGACAATTATATTCAATTCCCTCAACCTACTTTTAATTCCACTATTTTTTCAGCTGGCATTTTTGTTTTGTTGTACTTTGTACACAGTCAATGGTTGAGTAACCAACATTTGTTAAGCACAATACAAGTGGGTGTCCTACGGGGACAAAAGAGCCTCATCACCTTAAAAAAGCTTTATTAGGCAGTCTTGGTATCTCCATGAGGTATGTATCTTAATTCTGTCCGTATATTATCCTACAATTTTTTAAAATAACATCTGTATATATAATTTCTTCTCAAATTAATGATGAAGGGATTAAAAAAGTCAGGATAATGCTGGGTACAGTCATATCGCTTGCCTAGACTATTAAAGATTAAAAACAACAACAACAACAAAACATCAAGGAATACCTATTTTCTTAGTTTCAGGTATTTCTGGTTTGCAAATCTGTTTACAAGTAAGAACTGCACACAAACTACTCTGGTTGTTAAACAAGCTTTTTAATGTTCTTTAAAAATTTCTCCAAGAATTTTATTCTAACATTTCTGATTGATACCACTCCTCTGCAGGTGTGTTCAAGTAAAATACTTGCAGGTCGAAGCATCTCTGCTAGCCACTAATCAACTCACAGTTAATTGTAGATGAAACAGAAATTTTTTATCCAGAAGCAGCAGCACATCCCTGAAGTCAATCAACATATATATTTTATGCCCTTATATGTAACCTCACCTACCAGTTCTTTATCTTGTGCTTCCCCTCGCTTGTGAACTAAGGAAGGTCACTGAGTATCTTTTATAAAGTGTGCAAGAACAAAGGCTTGCTCCACCATGAAACCCACAGATCAGCTTATAAAATCAAAGTGCAATCACAGTTTCATTTCATAGCTTTTTCCCCTTCCCAAATTTCAAATGAAACAGAAATTAATGTGTTAGGATTGGCAAAACTGCCTGAAAGGCCTATTAAGCCCTCAGCAATGAGAAATTTCCCCATTGCTGCCACAGAGCTACAGACTCCAAATTCAAAGGGACCTTTGGATCACATATATGACCCTCTAGGCATCACAAGCTATGGCTTTTTACCCATATACTTGTGCACTAAGCTCATTAACTTGATTTTTTTAGGTTTATGTGTATTTTTCACCATCACATAAAGAGGTGTAGAAACCACTAACTGGTCATTTATTAAAAAGTTTCTTATATTCACTACTAACTTTCAATCCAATTGTCAATTTGTATTTACTCTCTTTGTTTGCATACTTACTTCTCTTAGAAATCCTCCTGGTATGAACTATTTTCACTCTGAGAATTTATTAATACGTAATGGAATTATTCCTCAAAAACTGTGTGATAAACTAACCACATTAAGCTCTCAAAGAGTTTAGTTCCAGACCACAAATCCTTTGGATAAAGGGCTGCTTTAAGAGCTCTCCAGCTCACAACCTGTCACTAAACACTCACTCTCTTGAAAGCTGCTGTCCCCCCGTTTTGCTTATTTAGCTGTTTGTATGGCTGGAGTTCATGCGTTCCTTTTCCAAAATGTGGTGAGCCCTTTTGAAGCAAGACCACTCTCAGCATTAGACAAGACATGCACCGTGCAAGCATTTATGCTGGCAGGAGATTTCATCCCTTGGCCCACCTCAGTGGCTTCACCACTACCCTCTGCTAGTGGCAGCCTCAGCTCTGCTTGGAGCTCCCTGTGTGAGTGTCCCTCCACCTATTTTGGGTCAACTGAAGTGCTTCAGCAAGGACCTGGTCCTTTAAATGCTTCCATCAACTTCAGTTGTTTTGGACAGAGAGGGTCACCCTTCCAAGCAACTCCAGTGGCAGACCTGAAGGAGTGGTAACCTTCAGCAGAAGAGCAGGGACAAGGAATCAGGACGCAACCTTTCCCACTAGCACAGCTGGAGTTCACAGAGCACATCTGATCAGAGGCTCAGGCATTTTCTCCGATACTTCAATCTTTTGTATGTCTCATTCTTGCATCTCTGCCTATTTTTTGATTTCCCTCCAGTGTTGCCAATTAGATGCAACATTCCAGCATCAGTCTCATCACTGTAACTAAAGGAGGTAACCTCTTTACTCTTCACATTCTTCTTCTACCTATACACTGAAATATGGTGATGCCCACTTTTGTCCAAGTCATTTATCCCAGCTGACACTTGGCTTGATGTGAGTACACCAATAGGCTCCGCTACTATGAATCTCGTTTTACTCGGGTTTGCTTCTTTAAAATAATTTTCTATACTATCTCCTTTGCCAGTTTCTCAAGACTTCATACTTTAAAAAAAAAAAAATGAGAATATGAAGTCAAATATTCAAAAAAGAATCTTCAAAATCTGCAACAGAAACTGATCACTAATGTCTTGGGCAAACCCAACAAAACCTCTTCCCAATAGAGAGAGATTTATGAAGTTCTGTATTAAAAGGACCAGTTTGGAGATCAGCAAATTTGGACCCTTACCACTAAACTTGCGGCAAAATGAGTACTACAGTTATGGACACTTATGAGAATCATAACCTTTTCCACAGCTAAATAAAGGACAAAAGAAGTTGCTTTTGTCTAAACAAAGCAAGCTCATCCTTGAACTCATCCTTCAGCTTTAGCTCTGCAGGATCATCTCACTTATGAAGACTGAAAGTAAGAGAACCCAATAAGCAGCACAAACAGATGAAAAAACACTGGCATATTGTCCTCATGGTGAAGGACCTACTATTTCCACATTTGAAATAGCTTCAGGTTAAATAGCTGGCTGGTTAAAGCTGGTTAAATAGCTGGTTAAAGCCAATGCCCTGAAGCTGTCTAATCTTCAGGTGATAAAACATGAACTATCAAAAGAGAGATGTACTGACCCCTGACCAACCAACTGAAATTTGGAGTATATATAATTCTCCCTTGTTACCCTGTGACACCAGTACTAAGCATGTGATAAAAACAGATGAAACAATATGCCTTAGAAGAGTACATCAGAAGTATAAATAATCCAAGTACAACAGTAACAACAACAATAAAGAACCCAGAAAGATTGTTTCAAAGTTAATCTCTCAGGAGAGAGACAAAGCCCAGCAGTATATACTCCAACAAAAAACATTCTGTTGATAGGTAAAGTGCATTTGTTAAATTTCAGAGGGAGGGTTAGCATTTTGTGTTCTTTTGAATGACAGCTCAAAACTGGGCCTATTACAAAATTTTAACTATTTCATTCAAAAGTATAGACTAAGAAAAAACAATGATACCAACTAATTCATAATAAGGCAAGACATTGACTATAAAATGAAGGCATAACAGGCTATGGAGAAAAAAAGAATCTTCAAGTCTTCAGAAGGTAATTCTAAGAATATAAATTTCCCTTAAAATGTTAGCTATAAGGACTCATTTGTATACCTTTGAGAGATAAAAGCTTGTTCTAATTCTTCAAACACTGCTTTTTTTTTGAAGTTTGGAAACTCAAACACAACGCTGTGCTAGTGAGAAAATGGGGGTTTTTTTGTCCTTTATTACTGAAGACAATATATTGTATTGGTTATGTAAATGTTTGCTGAAATAAAACAGCACTCAGGGCAATTTTGACCAGACTGATAATGATTCTAGTAATGTACATCAACATATGCACCACAGATGGCAGAAAGAAACCTAAGTGCAGATCAGTTGTTCAGTTCTCAAGCAATACACAAGGGTTCTTCTTAACATCTGGACAGCTATTTCTTTGCCTAAATATAATGTAACATCTATTCTAATCCACAAACACACACAAGTGTACTTACTACATAGTTCCCAGGAGATGCTGAAGAGTAAGGTATCTGTAATATCAACAGAAAGAAAACAGTGATTTCTTCTGCATTGAGATGGAAGTCCATACATATGTTTATATACAGTTGTAAGTTATGCTTATTTGTTTAACTTCTTTCAAAGACACGGTTCATTATTACAGAAAAATGCTATTGTTGTCAAAACAAATACCTCTCTTTTTCAACAACCTGTCATTGTAAGTACGTTCAAGTCCAAAACTAGAAATATAGACACAAGCAAAATTTAATACCAAATATTTCAAATAAATTATTTCCACTTAGGACTACTGTGCCCTGGTAGCCACTCTAATAAAATTAGTATGAGTAGCATAATACACACACTTAAATGTCTGTAGGCTGAGATCTCATGTCTACTCTCCATTGCTTCATAGTAAGTGAGGAATACATTTTTAATAGCCAGCATCACTTTTTTAAGATACCAAGTTACAAGGTCTAGTATGAATCCAGTTCTTGCATCTATTACAAGAGTCTTCTTATTGTGGGAGCCACAGTAAGGTCTGTAAAGATCTGCAGTCCATAATAAAAGGTTGAGTTATAAAATTATTAAGGTAATATGCTTTATAAGGTTTATAAACTTAAGCGGCACATACTTGCATTTAAGTCAATACGACTTCAGAGTCATCCCAAGCACGGACTAAATTTCTATGGTCCTATATATCCTTAATATTAAAATCTTGACCATAAAAGGGAAAGTAACCTATATCTTTCACTCTACAAGATACTAATTTTATTTCTTTGTGTAATTTTTTTTTTTTTTAAAAAGACAGTGTTCTATTTTCATTTAAAATTCAATTGTGGTATTTGTTACAGAGGCTATCTGGAGAAATCCAGCTGCCTGTGAATAATCTGGTTTTCTTTTTTATGATAGTCTTTGCAATTATTCTTTCTAAAGAAGCATGGACCAATGCTATTATAGGAGGACGGTGTAAGAACTAAGAAACTGTACTGACAACATATAAAATTACTTTTGTGGCATAAGAGTCTTACATCATTGTAGACCATTTGTCAGCCAACTCATTTTTCCAAATACATCTATTACTGGACATCTCAATTAATTTCACAGAATGAAAATATTTCAACTATCAATTGAAAAACATCCTAACATCCATTTTAGTTGACTACATGAAAAAGAAAACTGAGGAAGAGGTACAGCTCTTTTTTTCCCATAATAATCATTAATAGAATTAAAAAAATAGAATTGACAACAAAAGAAAGAACCAGGCTAGTCAGTTAAGCCAGACCCATTTTATGTAGCTGCAAGTGCTAAAAAGGGATACATTTTTATACTAATGATGTATGATCATTGAGTGAAAATGAAAACTTTACCTTTGTGTTTTCTGAAGAAATACCAGACACTTGTTCATGTGGGATGTCTCTCACTGACCTCTTCTTCTTTCAAGCTGCTATTAGACTATCTCATTTTGCAGTTGTTGCAATGAAATTTGAGTGCACTGCTTATTACAAAAAGCATGTAAAAATGGCTGATGTCTTACAAGCAATTGATCACGATTTCATATGCCCCGGTTAAGAGCAGCAAATGTGCTTTTGTCACACAAAATGTGCGAGCACACATTAAGCCACATCTTAACAAGCTGTGATTTCTGTAGAGCTTGCTGGCCAGATAGTGTTGACCTAACTCATCTTACTTGCCCTAAAGGAAGCTAAAGTGCACTTTAATACAACCCAAGATAACATTTGTGTTATGGAAGTGCTGTAACTGGTGTTAAGATGCAGAGCTGTTGTGTGATTATGAACAGAGCGTAGATAATTACAGGTCAGTGAGCTCTCTGTTCAGATGTGCTCCCCACTGTACCTGCTCTGCATTAGGGTTACAGGGAAAAATATGAAGCATGCAGTATTCTACTGTTGAATGAAGTCGAATTTTTTCCTGGTGTATTTATGAGAAATACTTCCCTAAATATAAGATGATGTCTAATATGGTTTAAATATTTACTTACAGAATTGGCATTGGTTGGGTTTGGCCAAGGTCTACCACCCCCGGGACCCCTGTAACAGAAGGTGGAAGATGAGACACAGAACAATCCCCATCTTCAGACCAGCTCTGAGGAAGTAAATCAAAATAATCTCTTTCCAGAGTAAGGAAGCAGATAGCTTTTTTCAAATTAATGTGTGTTTATAAGCCATAACTACACCAAGTTATAATGCTATAGCAAAATTCTCATCATTGCACCACCGTTATCATTTAATCGGATAATGAGTTGATTAAAGATTATTTATTTATTATTACAATCCTGCTGCTCACATTTAAGACACTTCAGGTCCTGACTCATTCTGTTTCTTCCATACTCTTCAGTAAAGGACCTGCCAGAATGGCATCAAGGAGTCCTTCACCAGTAGCCACAATGCCGTAAGCTACAGTGGAGATGGCACAATTTTTCATCAGTCCCAAACACTTGCAAATTTAGGAAGTGCCACACATTTCCCCTTTATATTCTCAAGGGAACAAGTTGAAAGACATTGCAAATTTGAGTCTCTTGAAGTGAGCTGCTTCCCCATTCACAGAGAATTTAACTCTGTGTTACACAGATGCAACATTTTAACATGGCACAGAAGTTTTGTAGAAAGTAAAAAACAAGTTTGCAAGTTCTCATGAGAAGTGTTTCTCCTTGTACTCAGTTAACATTTTTTAAATATTTGGAGGAAGTATCACACGTCCCACGGAAGTCTACTTACAGTACGGACAAAGGTAGAAAGGCACTAAAATACAAGCGTCATTTCAGTCACAGAAAGAGTACTTTTGCTTACATAATTAAGTACCTTCCTGAGGAATTGAGGATGCAGGCATTTATCAAGTATGGATCTAGAATACTGTAAGTATGGTAAGGTTTTATTAGTGAAAGTGATGCTAGTACCTTATAAAAGTTTTGGGAAAACTTATTTTTTTAAAAGAACAAGCCACAGAAAATATGTTGCTATAACCCGTATCTGATAATAATAATAAATAGCATGTTCAAAAAATTGAATACATGCCATTTTATACATACACTTTAAACATATGTTTAGATATGTATCTAAAACCAGTTTGCTACTTGACTAAGTCTACGTTATCTCTGCAGAAGTCACAGAAACATGAAAGTCATCAAACAGCAGGCAAAATGGAAATTCAAACTTTTCAGACATTCTCACTACACTTGGCCCAAATGGTGTACGCAAGATTAAGTGTCAGTTCCACAGCAGGAGGGACAAGAGTGTTTCACAGGCAGAAGACCTGTTTGATAAAGTCAACTCTGAGAAGACATCATATGGGTACTAAAAGCAGAAGTGAATGGGGAAAGGAAAAAAGGAAAAACTGTTCAGACAGAGTAGATTTTTTTTACAAATCATGGTGCTATTTTAAGTTTCTCACTCTTAGCTGAGCTCAGAAAAATATTTTGGTGATTGGGCTTTGTCTTTTAACAGTCCTGAGGGAACTAAGCCATATGGGAGATAGAATCTCCAAGTTCACAATCATAAAATCTCAATAACCACAATTATTCCTGAGAGCATTAAGAACTCCTAGTTATTTATAAATAAGACAACATCACTTTTTGAAGGCCCTGACAACTGAGAGGCAGAGCAGATGACAAAACTTTTGCATTTAAAATCGCATTTTGGCCTCATTAGCTTTAGAAAAGCAACATTAGCCACCACAGCTTACCAGACATGGGAGACTGGTTTAAATATAGAGAAGAAAACAGGCTTTATTAATGAGTTCAGGAAGCTTCCTATCTATTTTAAAGTCTTGCAAAACTAAAAACTATTAAGTAGATATGTTGTCCGAGGCATTTAATACTAGATTTTTTGTTATTATTACATTGTTGATGAAATTGTAAAAAACTAGCTTAAACAAACAAGTGAAATAAATCAAGTGAAAATTCATATATTTCCACTAATATTATTTTTGAAAAGTTGGAAAACATCAGTGTAGGTGATGGTCTTTTCTGCCTTATTCATTGGGAGGAGGGGGGGCAAAGCAAGGAAAAGAACTCACAGTACTCGTGGTCCTCAAGTCAAATATTCAGCAGTTTCTCCTCTGCTAATGATTATAAGGTGAAATATTAGGTGTTCTTTTCCTTCTGTGTATCATATTTGGTTTATTTGATCCTATTTTTCTAGAGAAATCAGGAATATTTATAACAACACTAAAAATCTGTTTTCACCCCAAAACCCTGAACCTGTTTGACATTAAGTAACACAAATATATCTAGGAAAAAGCATAAAATAGAAAATAGCTATGATGACACTATAGAGTACTCTGAACTACAGATTATACAGATTATATATAATCATATATGTGATTCTGTTAAGCCACAACAATGTGGAAATTTAGACAGGTCTTATGAGGAGACTGGAAAACTCACCTTTCACCTAAAAAGCGGTTAGAATTTGTGAATTTACTGGAAGCCATGGACAGTTCTAAGTATAGACTTAGAAAACACTGCTGGAAAACCATATAGTTTTTGTGGAGCCAAACGTTAGCTTATAAAACATATATTAAAAAAAAAGCTACCTGCATTTTTTTTTCAATGCAATGCAAGCAGGTTTTTTTCCCTTTATTAAATGTTTATTTTGGAAGCATCAAGAGAGTCATAAAACATTATTATGAATGTACCAATTCCAAAATAGAGTAATTTATGAAGTATCTATTGCTATGACTAGTTACAGCTACATTTCATCCTTAGAGTAAGTCCTATAGCATTGATCCTAGTACTTAAAAAACTAAAGTCTGAAATTTCAGTTTCCCAGGGGGCAAATACATTCAATCAGGAAATTAAACATCTAGACACAAGTCTGTGAATTGAAGTTAAAAAAAAAAAATCACATTTCTTTTTCTTTTCAGGCATCACTGAGGTATTCTTAGTGCTTGAGACAGCACTGCAGGTCACACAGAACACTAAAAAGTGCCACTGAAAAGTAACACTGCTTCCTGAAATTTGCCATTTTTTTCCAAATAGGGCATTTTCCACAAATAAATAAAATCTTACTAAAAATGCCTACACTGAGTTTCAATCTAAAACCTTATAGCTGAAATAAAGTTATTTTGTAGAAGAACACAGGATATGTATCAGCTGTTTAAAGCAGTAATTTGACAGGCATTAGTTATGATGGAGTAAGCAATTATTTAGCAGTACTACATTTGTGGAGTATATGCTCCTGGACTGAAATACTGTCTATGAGCTCTCAGGCTGGTTGTTACCATTTCTGACGATAAAGAACATTTTTTCACCCAGAAAAATGTAAAATTATATTTGGCAGATATTCTGTTCTTAACCAAAACATCTTCCTTTCACGCTTTCTGCAGGAAAAAAAGCTGGATTTTAAATGGCAACTGTTTTTGTAGAGTACACATTTTTACATTTTAACATTGCCAAAAATCCCAAAACACTGAATAGAACACTGAAAAAATTTCATGTAAGAAAAAGACATGGCCATGTAAAGATAAATTTACATTACTATAAGGCAATAGTCTTATGTATAGTTATCCTATTTCCTAGAAAAGTAAGTACACTAAATGACTTACTTTCTTAGCACTGCGCATTAGCTAAATTGTAAGGGATAATATAAAGAATGCATTTCATACAGTTGGGTCAATCTATTGCCATTGCCCACAGGTTATCCTTGGATGCACTCTTACTGATCCTGAATGCTGGAATTTACCAGACAAGTTGTCTTCACTAAGACTTTGGTGTAAGGACAACTTAGACAGCAGTAACTTTACAGTAAGAAACAGACGTGATGTCCTCAAAATACAATTAAACCCAGACCATTGTAACCCCTTTGTTTTTCCTTTTGATTGGTATGCGTCACTCCACTAGACAGACAAAAAATACTCATTTTGACAGTAAAAAAAATATTCATCTAGTCAGGCATGCAATAATGGAGCTCCTTACAACTGTCTATGATGCAGCATGTTAAAACAGGTCAAGATATACTATAGCATAATACTCCAGTCTAGCACTTTGGATTCTCTCATGCCTTTAAAGTGCACTGTAATAAGAAAAGGGACAGCATGAAGTATTGTTCAAAACCAATAAAGAGTATTCTGTTCCCACTTTCAGCTGACCTGGAGTAAAGGTGGGTTCGTAAGAAATGTAAAGGAGTGCAGTATATGCCTGGTAAGACATGGAGACAGCTACGGTTACCTACTTCATAATTATTGCCTCACATCCTGTTCTTCTCAGAAGATCATATACTGTATCAAAGTTCAGGAAGTCCCAAGAAAAGGACTACAATTAATGGTGTCCCCTTCAAGAGGACATAAAGGTTTAAAGGAAAATGTGCTTCACACATCACTGCATTAAAAGAACATGATCTATGTATGTTTACTGGCTCAGCATAAGATGAAATGTGCTTATTACATGCTACGATATGGAAATGTTAGTATTTCAACCCATCTTCTCTCTCTCTGGCAGACCAGGAATTCTTTTGGTCACTCAGGAACCTGTTTTCTTATTTTTTCCTACGTAAACTCTCATTTATGCAGATAAATAGTCTCAAAATATCTTATCTATCCTCAATCCTAATTCTACAGCATTTTATTTTAGAAAGTTAATTTTCTTTTCTTAGAATTCAATCTCCTTGTGAAGACAATCTCTGTAGTGTTTACATTATACTTACACTGTATCTAAATATTTTTTCCACATCAATTTTATTTAAAGGAAGAAATTCCTATGCTTGGGAAGGTTCCTAGAATTGTCTTGAGTCCAACATATGATGTCTATGACAGAGTAACACCCAATTTAAGATTTTATTTTATTTGCTTCAAGAATTCAAGGTATGTCTGGAAATCAGAAAAAATTAAGGATATGGTAGGTTATATATTTTGATAATGGTATTATCTATTTCAATACTACTTTACTTTTTCATACTGGTAACTATTTACTTGAAATTAAAACTACCATCTCTCATTTATGTTTCCTATAAAAGTAAGAGTAAAAATGGGTATAATCATAACAAGCATATATAAATCTTCACTGTGTTTCCTATGTCAATCTGCTGAAAATTCATTCTTGAAAGACAAAGGTGTAAAATTAGAAAGAAAAGAACATGTTCTCTGCTTTAGATTTTAAAATCATTCCAGTATCTTGACAGCTGGACCACCATGTTGCCTTCTGTGACCACCCCAGGGTCTGCAAAATGCTGGTTACGAGAATATGTACTAAATTCAGTAGAGGTAGGGGCATGATACGACTTGATAATCTGTGGTATGCTAAAGGTAACTATAGCAGCCCCTTCAAATTTGTGAATCTCCTAAGAGAGATATCTAAGTAATGTAAGGAGCACCTTTGTTTTTTTTCCAGGCTTGCTACCTATGTAAGCAACTCCAAGCAAGCAATCTAAAGAGCAGAAGATTTCTCGTGTTAGGCCACTTGCTACACTAAAATCCTCAGCTCAGATCTCATCTACTCTAGATACACTAATTTTACATCTGAAATTTTTCTACACACTTAGAAAGTGGAGTTGCCTACAGGTATAAAACATGTAATATACTCCCATGACTAAATGCATGCCTGGAATAAATCAGTATAGCTTAACTGAACACAGACTATATCGATTTTTACCAAATGATGATCCAGTCCCAGAAGTACACAGAAACACTGAAAACCTTACACTCATATCTGTAATGCTCTTCTGTATGTTTATAGTGGAAATAAACGTAGTTATGGAAATAAAAACAGCAACAGAGAATCATCCACACTTCCTCTTTCAAATATGTCTTTTTTTATAAATAGTTCTAGACAACCGTTTTATTTTGCCAAAATTAAGTACGACTTTATTTTGCTGAAAAGAACCATACTAGTACCATTATTTACAAAGTATTTAACCAGTAGAAACATAAATTTAAATAATGTAATTAAAAAAAAAAAGCATCCAAGGATACATCAGTGACTATACTGACAAAATATTCCCAATATTTAAACTTTGACCTGTGAAAGAAACTGAGTATTTATACAAACTCGTAGGGACAGCAAAGGCGCCTGCTGTAAGAGATGCATGCAGAAGGAAACTGCTGTGGGTTCACTTTTAAAAATTGCAGTTAATAGTCATCAAAGCATGTTACTTATCCAAGCATGTTCTCCTTATTTTAAATATCCAAAATATTACTTCTACAACGAAATAATGATTTTTCTAAATATTATAAGATTTTATCATTATGCTTACATGTTCATTCCAGGCATCCCCGGGCCACCTAAAGCATTCAGTGGGGGTCTCATTGCACCTCCATAGTTCTGCAATGATAACCAAGGGTCAGACTACCACAAAACAAAAAAACAAAACCAAAGAGGAGGGGGAAAGAAAGGACAGCAAGTTAATGATATCCCTACATAACTGCTGACTGGATAGGCCAATGTAATTCATTCTTTCAGGAGTTTCCATTGTTGACTTAAAAAAATAATATTGTTAACCCCGAGGAGAAAGAATTACAAACAATAGAAATAGACTAAGAATACTTAAAACGTCAATTGGTTCAGGAGGAAATATTTACACATATAGAGGTCAAGTCAATAGCCAACGGAGGGCAGGTTTTATAATGTATTCAACTTTTATACCAAGGGAGCTCATTCGAAATCAGAAACCTGGACTTGGATTCTAAGATTTCTACATCATGGAATTTGAATAGAATTATTTTTAATTAGATTTTGTTATGATATAAATAAATGCTTCTATAAAATTACACCATGTGGTTTCACTTTTATAACATACAACATAACCGTTTCTTTAGTCTTCTAATCAGTCAATTCCAGTAAGTATGGCAACCTATATGAAAAGTATTAAATATGATAATAAACATCATAGTGATGCCAACAAATGAACTGCCCAATGCTTATAAAAACTGAGTTTATGCTCTGATATTATGACAAAAGCTTAACTGTACTATTTACATGAAAAACTAAATCATACCTGTATTTTCAGGGGAATACAAGCAGAACAGTCTATCTCACCTCAATATCATGGTGCACTTCCCTAATCTGTGTTAATCCTGCCACATTTTCCTGATATTTCAAAACAATGGGTAATAGTAAATTCTCTAATATGAGCAGCTGTGCATTTTGGAAGGAGGGGGACACAAAGAAGCGATTTACTTTAAAAAGATGTAGTTCGTTGTTGCAGTCTATTTTCCAGTAATAAAACTAATACACTGTATTTCATGTACAGTATGCTACAAACTGCATAAACTATATGATTCAGGCTTATGGATGTTCTCTATATCAATGTGATTTACAAAACCATGTAAATAGGAAGTCATGATACACAGGAGAAATCTGAAAGTGATAAAGTTTCAGTTTGGTGCTGTTTACACTGACTGATATGAATCAGTTACCTAGAATTGATCTAGAACTGATCGATAACTAGAACAGGAGCTTCTGTTGCTGCAAACAGAAACCCCAAACTTAACATTTTCATTGTTAACAATCCTCAATGTGTCCAAAAGATAGCTGCTTTGCAGGAATACAAACAGAGGCTGCAAACAAATGTCCTCTTCCAGACCTAACAGTGCCATCCGAAGATAGTGTTACCCACAGCTGCTGGTCATCAATCACTATGCATTCTTGCCTTAGTGTGTGTAGCCAGTAGACCAATTAGTACACATGCTCAGGTGAAAGTCAGTCAGATTAACTCAAACTTCTTATTTGACCTAGGTTATCCTAGATGATTTTGCCTGAGCAACTCCTCTGTCAGAACTGTAGAGTAGTAACTGGTGGCTAGTCAAAGCAGTGGGCAAAGTGATAACCCCATCTGGCACTACTAGATCTGGAAGAGAACACAGTCTGACTGTAAGAGAACAGCTATCCATTTTATTTCATTTTTCCACCTTGATGTGGAGGGCTGAGCCATTCTCCCTGTCTGGTCTGTCTGGTATCTTCCCTCTTAATTTTAATTCAGGAATTATTTGTGTGGACCAGGGTTAAAGATCTCTGTAGAATCTCTGTGGAATTCCTGACTGGAATAATCCTAATCAAATGTACTTCTAACTGTAATTACTGATAATTCTAATCAAATGTACTCCTTCATTCTAAAATAAGAGCACTTTCGTTAAGGCTACCAATATACATGTTCCTTCAGCTGCAACTATGCTCTCTGCAGAAGTTAGTGGCCCAATTTGTCCCTTACAGCTTTTTACTCAAAGTCACCACCACCACTGTTTGTCTGGTAGCTGAGCTGTTCATAAAAATGCTCCCTAACATCAGGTGGCCAAAATGAGCCAGGTTAGCCAAGACTTTTTTCTTAAATATTTAAGATGACCCAATTCTTGTAGACTATGAAGCATTAGGGAGCATATGGAAGGCTCACCAGCAGATATGAAGGACAGGGAGAAGGAGCAGTCACAGATTGGTGGTAGTACCCCATTCATCTAGCATAACTACAACTTGAAAAAAGCCTGAACTTAATTCTTTGGAGCTTTCCACAAATTCAAGCATTTACAACCATCCACTGCTTTTTGCTTCGTGTCATTTAGTTTGAAACAGTCTAGAAACATAAAATACAAAACTGAGGTAAATTTTCTCTAAGATTTCAAGCATATACATGCTATACTTGCTATAATGGACATAAGCATTTCTATATCAGCACATTATGTGTTTTGCAGGTTGACTGCCTCTGCAGCAAGTCAGCAGGGCCTCCCACTACAGGCAGACCTAAGACAACTTTATAGCACTGTAGCAAGAGGACATTAAAAGTAGGTGTGTAAGATTCACCAAATTTGGTTTTAGAACTGCATTCTGAGAAGATCCTAAAAGCCAGATACAAAGATAGATGATGCTCCATTTATAGGAAAGATTGATTTGCAAGTGCAAATTTCATGTACATTAGCGACATTTTTCCCCCTTTTTAAGAGGATGTTCAGTACAACAAAGAAGAACCTTACAAAACCACTGGATTTTAAGAGACAGCAAAAATGGAAAAATTGTCCTTATAAAAACTGGCATGAGATTTGACTGCTGTGTGACTAATGGGGCTGCATAAAGTATCAGACTAATCTCATACGGCAGCATTGCAAATCTTCTCTTTCTACCTCCAAAAGGCAAGTGGTAAATATACTTCAATGCTACAGAAAAAAATAACAAATGTATTTAATAATGGTTTGTTGGTCACACAGCAGATGATGTGTAGAACTGCACAACTGGTTTTTACCAAGAAGACCCAAAATTGTAAAGACAGGTACGAACAGATTTGAAAGGCAAAGCTATTTAATAATTTAAAATTCAGTTGTTATTCCAACAAACAAAGAAGTCACTAGAGAGATTATCTGAAATGGGGAAATAAAAATGCAAAGTGTGGGCACAATAAACACACTGTAAAACAAAATACTGGCAACACCAGTATGAAACATCACCACCTAAATTTTCCCTCACTCAGAGTGCCGACAAAAAACAGAATAATCTTTTGGATTCATACTTCAGGTATGTATCAGAATTAACTTGTTTTCTACCCTAGTTTACTGTTAAAATGTAAGGACAAATATCCACCGATATTTTCAAACTTTTAAAGAAAGAGCCTGTGAACAATTATCACCAGGTCAGCACCATGGAGAAGGATGGTTCTTGCAATCCAAGGTTGCTTGCCTTCTCAAAAACAGAGCAAGAGAGATGCTTGCGATTCAGAAGGGGGAGAAACATCAGCATGAACTTCTCATTTTACATTAAAATTTCACTAGCACTCACCAAAAATCTAGATCAACAATGGATGAAAGAAAAACTTTACAGAATTTTGGGGGGCATTTTTGGTACGAAGAGTTTGCCTAAGTTAGAAGTATTAATCCTTTCCTCCTAAACAGCATAATCAATTGTTGGGAGGATGAGGAAACACCTGTTCGATCCTTGGTCTCCGTTACAAATGTCAGCTCTTGATTATAACATACACTGGCTGCAGAACAAACGTAACTCTTCTGAAATAAGCAAGTTAAGGGATTCCTCTTTTAATTTCAAATCTTAATTAAAATGACTGATATTTATATTTAAGACTTTGTACAGCTGCAACTCAGCATTAATGTTTGTAAAACAGAAAGTTTATTTAAAAATGGGATTAGAAGAGCAAGTCCTGGCCATCTTTGGGCTATGGAAAGCCACAGTAATATAGCATAAGTATAGGCCTACCAATAAAATGGCTATCTATCTGTGGAAGGTACCTGTGGTCCTAATGGAACCATCCCTCTTGGAGGAGTCATTCTCTGCATTGGCCCACCCATGTTTGGATGCCCTGAAAATAAAATCATGTAATTTTAAAAACTACGCAGTACACAAACACCTTCTAAAACAACTTCAACAAATCATTCCTTTTTAATTAACAAAAAGCTTAAAAAGCTTCAGTAAGCTTTGAAACACAGAATAAAAGACGCAAGTTTGAGAAGACAGTACTTCTGAGTGGTACAAATAATTATTTCATTCACCTTGCTGCCGTGTTGGGTCCATCCCACTAGGCAATAATGGCTGACTTCCTGGGACACCTCCGAGTGCCTGCAGACATAGAAATCATATGTTAAAAGCATATAATACTTTGAAATCTATGATAAAGACTTAATGCAGGTATTTGGGGTTTAATTCATAGATGTTTCTTCTGAGTCAAGAGTAATGTGGAAGAGTTAACTTTCTTTTGTTAAACCCAGCCAGCAGCCAAGCAACGCACAGCCGCTCACTCCTCCATCGAGATAGGGGAGAGAATAAAATAAAACAATTAACAATAATAGAAAGTATAAATGGGTAATGCACAGTGCGACTGCTCACCACCTGCTGACTGATACCCAGCCCGCTTCCAGCTAGCGATGACAAAATACCAACATCCCAGAACCACAGTCCCGGAAGCAACTGAGAATCCCCTCCTTCCCAGATGACCCTCTTTTATACACTCAGCATGACATTGTATGATATGGAATATTTCACTGTCCAATTTGGGTCCAGTGCTCTGTCTGTGCTCCCTCCCAGCTTCTTGTGCACCTGCACACAGGCAGGACATGGGGAGTTGGAGAGTCCTTGATCTCTTAGCAACAGCTGAAAACATCAGTGTATTAAAAAAACATTCTTCTCACACTAAATCTCATACTGATTCCAAAACACAGCACTGTTCTAGCTACTAAGAAGAAAAATTAACTCTATCCCAATTGAAACCAGGACACTTTCTTAAATGCCCTAACTAAATGTCCTAAGTGCCTAACTAAACTAAAAGTCCTGAATGTCCTACAACCCTGACTATGGATTTGCACTGACGAACTCCTGGACTTCTGTGGAATTATGTATAAATAATCTCCAAAATATAATTACTTAATTTGCTTGCCCCTCTGCCAATACTTCCTTCGCTTTAGTTTACCTATTACTTAACCTACAAACACTGCCTTTTTCTTGGGCACATGACAATTTATCCAAAGCTTATATTGCTACAGTTTTCTCTTTAACAATTATATTAAAATTCCTTTCAGGTCACGATGTGCACACCAATATTCTCTGAGAGTGAGCTGCGACTGAGCCAATGACACAGCATTCACAGGGTATGGTTAATTAGAGCTGTGATATGGGGGACGTTTTGTCTTCCACTCTGCCTTACTCTTGAAGGGCATCAATGCCAAGATTAGCTTATTATTCATCTAAGGGAGATAACAACAGATACAAAACTTGCTCCTAAATCCTGCCTTCAAGCATGAAGGTACATTGTGTTGTCACTTCACCTCCGGTCCACATCAAATGCATTGCTTTTATGTCCCTACATTTTAATCTGGCCGTTTGGTTTACAGTAACTGAATTAGGCTTAAGGTTTATTTCTACAGTCTCTTACACCATACTTTAGTTAGCTAGAAAAATACTTTTATATATGGATCTTTGTGGCTGATCCACTAGGTGCTATTTAACATTTCAAAAGAACACCACATTTCAGTAAAAATGTATCCAGAATGAGTAAATCTGTTATTATGAAAGCAATCTACTCAGGTAGTACAAGTATTGCTTACTGTTGGAATGGATAAATTACTCTTGACCTGGAACTACTGTAGTAGTCTTGGATACATACAAAGGGGAACCTATCTGCATATATTAGAGTTTGTTTCCACAAGAGGTAGGAAATTAAAAAATAAGATACACATTATTGCCTCAAATGTAATACAGTCAAGAAGTACTGACATGGAAGATCAATGGAATAAACAAATAATCTGAGACAACATCATTTAAATCAGTTTTACATGTACTTCAGTTGAAGTCTGGATGATACATAAGAACAAAACATGAAGCGCATGGAGAAGTGACAAATACTAGCAAAGCAGGAACTGGTCACTTCTGCCAGAGATGGCAGGTGACATGCAAGGATGCAGAGGCCTTTGCTGATGTGAGGACATGTGACCGACAATTTAACTCATGCACTGTGCATCATTACAGGAGGGGCTGTGGTTCCTTTCTAACACATCGTACCTCTTTTCAAGAAAAAAAAGTGTACCCGCACAGCACAATGCATTCCCAACAGCAAATACCCTTGTAGGGCTTGATCGTGCCGTATGAGATCGAGTACTGGAGGCAACTTAGGGGCACCCTTGTGGTACCTGGTCAGTACTAACTTCCCTCACTTCAAAGCCTAGATCTAGCTCAGATAACCCTTACAGAGCACCAGACTGTGCTGTGCATGTGTGCCCTGTCTTACCCTTCCTTGCCTGGGAAACACATTCCCTACATTAAGGAATGGAGTTATGGTGGGAATTTTAACTCTGATTTTTACTGACTTCCATCTAAGCGAAATTTCAGGCTTAAAGCTGCACTACAGTAGTTCATTACTTCCACACACTGCCCATCTATACTGTAACTTAAATAATGGTAGTGCTGTTAAAAGCAGTAATTCATGAATGCGGTATAATGTAAATCAATTGCAAGGGCTGTAATTCACTAAGATTATGTGATTATGTTACAGTTCTGAACTGAAAATATCACAGTGTGCAGACAAAAATGCTTCTGAAACTAGAACTGCAGGTTGGCAGCACTTTCACAGCATTCATCACATCCAGTTTCTACCTGCCAGTATTTACAGTCCTCAGAAACACAGAAAGCAAAACAAAGGAATACATGAAATGCAAACACTGGTGTATCTTTGGCTAAGATAGAGATTTAAGGTGCAACAATCAGGAGGATGTTTAACTAGAGTGCTAATGACATTGCACTCTCACGTTGTCCCTTGATCACTTCAAGGTTAGCTACATTTCCCTTGTAAGAAAGTAGTTATGGTACAGGTAACTTACCCTGCTCCCAAACATCACCATGTTTGATTTGGAGGAAAATGTGAAGAAGTCTTGTGACCTGATATATCCAGCTCACTGAATTTTAAACTTCAGTATTCTGGCAATATTGTGCCAGTGATGAAGACAAGTTTGTTGACATTGTGTTACACAGATATAAAAAAATAGCCAGAACTGAGGTTGGAGCAGAAAAATCTCCACATCAAGCTGTGACATGAAGAAAGGCAGTCCTGGAAATCACAGTTGCACCAAAAAAAACATTCCATCTGGCCTATCAACCCTTCCCAATATTGTAAATGACCCAGTTTTTCTTTCAGAGCTCCGCTATTTTTCTGTCTGCTTATCTCTAACTTTTCATCTGTTGACAATTGCTTTCTCCTTCTCTATCTGTACTACGGAGGACTTAAAAATACACTGCTATCTGCCTTCCAGAACTGTCTTTTCACAAATGGGCCAATAAAGGTCTCTGCTGACGAACAGCAGCTCATTACTTATTCTTGTTATACTGGTATGCATATTCTTTGATGGAGATGAGAGAAAATTGGGAATTGGATGCTTTTATAAAGCCCTGAGGGTATCTCTAAAAGTCATAGAGCACTTTATGGTATCTGTTTCTCACCAATAATCTCCATATTTACTGTGAAATAAATACAGTTCATCTATCTAACAAAGAATAGGAAGGAGCGATGCATTTTATGTAGAATTAAGTCAAAAATTTCTTAGAGTTACTACTTGATGTGGTTAGGAAAGTTCAAAGAGTGTAACAGCGATGGAGACATTCTGCCTTCAATCTCAGAGCAGGCAGTGTTGGCTGGCTGAGGCTAATGCAGCATCACCCAAGGCAGTTGTATCCTCCCTCTGCAAACAGGCTTAATACACAATAAATTTTGAGGTGTAGACACTAATAAGGCATAGGAAAGTGAGCTGGGAGTAGCATGGCCACACCTTATAAAAATAACTATTTGTTGGTCAGACAAAATGGGGTGGAGAGGGACTGAGCAACTTTTGTAGCCAATGAGCAACTGGCAGCCAACAGGAACATATTCCCTGTTCCCAGCACTGCATCATGACCCTGGATCACACTGGTGCACCAGTGACAAATTCTTACCTGATTGGGTATTCTTAAAGGTGGCCTTGGACCTCCAGGGTACCGAGGGGACATGAAAGGCTATGAAAAAAAAAAAAACAGAATTCTGCTAATTGTACCATCCTCACACCTCAGACATCCAGATTCAATACTTCCACAGAGCATTCCATTTTTATTATTATTACTTTATTATTATTATTTATTATTCCACAATGTTTAGCAGAACTAAATAAATTTAGAGATTCTTAGCAAACCCATCTATGAAGGCATATTATTTAAAACTTTGTTACAGCTATAGTGAATGCAGGATATAAACAACTTAATGCAGTAACTGTGAAGAATAATAAACCATTTAGATCATATAATCAGAAATCTGTACTTTCCAGATACAAACCCTGGAATATAAAAGAAAAATGGTTTTGGGAGAGTGAAGAGGTAAGTAACAGCAAAACAATTTGCAAATACTTTCCATTCACTTTTCACTAATACAGTAAAATGCAATACAAGATTTAACTTGTGAGGGCACAGATTTCAAGTTTAAGTCATAAATATTTAGAACTTCCATGGTTTAAATGAACCATATTAATTCAGTGTTACTCCTCCCATCCCTGCATATGTAACTCCATGCTCACTCAGTACATCTCCTCTCTCAAAACCAAATATACACCCAAATCTGTCGTACCATCTTGCACCCTGTGAGGTTCTAGTGGTTCTTGACTACTACTATACTACTTCGTAGACCACAAACAACATCAGTCCCTTATGATAAACAAATGGTAGTACCAGGAAATAAATTTAACATGTCTACTCATTCAAAGTGTGACAGTAATCTAGAAATCTAAAAAGTGGGGAGATTAGTGGCAAGTGTGAGATCTACAGGAAAAAGGCACAAACATCTGACTAAACAGATGATGAAGAGGATCATTTTGGCAAGCAAATGTATCTATAACTCCAAAAGAAAGTGAAGAGCTGAAATTATGCTTTGACTGTGAATACAGGGACAAAAAAGACTGATTATTTCATGAAAGAGGAGCTCACTTCTGTTCACACTGCCACTGGAGACAAGGGAGACATAAAGAAAAGGAGTTTGCTGGGACTTCCCAAGGGCAATCTCTGATGACAAATGAGCTGCTGCACATTTGAATGCACACTTTGGGGTCTCTTCAAAAAGAAACAAACATACCTATGCAGACATCATTTAGTCAGCTGTAGATAAGGGCCACTGTCAGGTCACTGGAAGTCTATGATCAACATCACTGTTTTACAAATGAATGGCATATTTCAGCTCCATTGGCAGCACTGTGTTACAAACTAAAATGCCAGTGATCATCAATGTTAGTAATGCATGTATTAATAGTAGCAATAGCTAGCAAAATAATTATAATTATGTTACCAAAAAGTATTGGAATTTTTCCTATGATCTGGCACAAAAAAATTTAACGGAGCCTTTCACATCTCAGAATCAGATGAAATGAGGTAACATAAACATCCATTCAAAATAGGTACTAGAGGGAAATTTAAAATACAGAGGGAGTACAAACTGGAGAAGAAAGTTCAATGACTATTGTGAAAAATTACTTTAATAAAAAAGGCATTTGAAATTATGTGCTATAGAAGAGGGAGGTTTCTTCATGCCCTCACTCTGATGATGAGATTCTCCGATAAGAAAGAAAGAAAAAGTGCTGTGCATGTGGTGAAGGCTGTAAACACGGAAGACCTTATAAAGCAGTAAAAGTGCAAGGAGACTAGAATTTCAACAATTTCCACAAAGGTCAACCAACTGCATTGTATGGAGTACATACACTCCAGTGAGTATCTTGGATTTGGATTGCCTCATTCAGCAAATGAAACCTTAACTTTATTTACAGCTCATAAAAGGGGAAATCAGCAGTGTCTCTCAAGTCATCTATACTTTAATGTAGAATCACACTACTAATATGAGTATATAATAGTGTGTTATTGGCAGAATATCTGCTCTTTTCAAGCAAGATGGAAACTTGTTTGTCCCCATTCTTCCCACTGGGTTCACCTTTCTATGCAGTTTATAAAAACACCTAAAAACTTACTTTTTGTATAGAATAGAAATTCTGTTTTAAAACCTGAAACAAATAGCTCACTGCATTAAGGAGAGAAAGAGGCTTACTCACATAAAGTTGCAATTTCACTTTTGAAAATGTGATTTGGATTGTTTGTAATGCTTGACGATTAGCACATACTTTTTGGTTTGCTGTGCCCCTGAGGTCAGTAGCTGCTTCAGATTTTTGAGAAGGTCTGGATCTAGGTAGGTCTCAAGTCTACTTAAGAGAAGCCTCACAGAATAAGTCTAGGATTCTTCTCTGAAATCACATATAAGTAATGAATTTTTTGTTTTGTTTTTTTTTTTTTTAGGCGCCATTTCCTAATTAGGCATTAAAGGAGACTTTAATTTCAGAGCCAGTTCATCTATTCTTAACTGACATGTTAGTTCATTGCATGGAGTAACTACAGGAGTCTCTTTGTTACAACTCTATCGTAGAAGAAGGTTTATATACTGTAAATATTTATTTATCTATGCATTCCCCTTAAATGTATTTCTGGAAGTGTTTAAACCTTCTCTTATTATTCAAGCAGTTGAACCCAAGTGGAACTGCAACGAATGATTTCATCTAGTAAACTTCAATTAGTTCTTATGGTTCTTGATGATCCACAGATACAAACACTGCACAGTTCCATAGGCAGAAAAATATATAAACAACTGGGCAGCACAACTAATGTTTTAATGAATGTAAGTATCAATGATGGTCCATACAGCATTGCAGAAAATGGTGAGATAGTGATGTTCAAGGACAACTCTAAAAAACTTTACACTGTTTTGGACCAACATTTAGTACTTAAATTTACCACAAACATTCTACTGTTAGAAAGAAAAATTTAAATATGCTCATTTTTGTGCCAGTTACTAAACATCTTCCTCTCCCAATGTCATGTTTGTCCATAAAAAGTTCTACTGAGATGCATTCTGATAACAAAGTTGTCTGAAATTCTGTCAAACACTTTAATGAAAATAAACTAAATACGAACAGCTTTTCATTACATTGGGAGCATTTTTTCCACCTCTCTTCCCCTCTCTCTCCCATCTCCTCCCCATCCCTGCCTGCAACTCAAGCAGTAGGCACTTTTTGTTAAATGTTGTTTTGTTATATCCTTTGTAATTAATAAGAGCAGCTGACATTCAGTCTCTGATCTAGTTTTACTTTATTGTTAAGAGTTGTTGAAATGACCATGGCTTAAGGAGGAACCACTGTTTTTACAGCTCCTAGCTCTCTTTCTTTGACTTCTTGGAAATGTTTTCTTCCCATTCTCTTAATGTTATTGCAGAACACACATCATATAAAGTAATGGGTTCAAAATATGGGCACTAAATTAAAACCAGTGATCACAGATTTTTAACTGGTTGGTGTAGCACTTGTCTTCCGAAGACAAAAAATAAATTTTTCTCAGATTGAATACTTGGACATTTCTGCCTGCTACCTCTCACGTCAATCATGACAACTGACAACACGTGTCACATCAGTTGCAGCAACTGCAGAAGATTCTGGTAACTGTTTTGGAGAAAAGACAAGTAAACACATCTGCAATCACCAGTATATTGTAATTACTGCCTTCAGGTATGAAATTCAGTAATTTGGTATCACAAAAAGCATCTTGAATGCTGCTGTCATGCAGCTGAGAGCAAAGGAATATAAGAAGAAGCCTCTACTAAACTGGATGAAAAAGAGGAAAAACCTTTTGTGTATTCACTGTAGAAAATATGTATTTATCAAGTTAGAAAAAAAAAACAAATACCCAGAAACACCTCAAAGGAAAAAAATACTAAAAAATAAAAAATACTAAAAAAAATACCAGAAAAGAGACTACACAAAGTAAAATCACGATGTGAAAAGTTAAATTTAGTGAGCTCCCTGTTCTTACTTGTAGCATCCTACTATGTTGAATTGTTAGAAATACTTAAAAAGAATTAAAGTTCAAGAACTTGAATGATGGCACCACATTCTAGCACTTTTTGTTATCTTCCTGCTAAAGAAAGAATCCAACCATGTACAGGGGGAGTAAAGGTTATCTTATAAACTGTGTATTTAATACAATTTTGTGAATTGTGTGTGCACATACAATGTAAAAATCTCGTAAAATACTACTTTTCTTAATCCCTGGGAACACAAAGGTACAAGCAGATAATAAGCTTCTCAGTGGTGAAGTCTTTGAAGAAGCAACATTGAAGCACAGTAGTCTTACTGCCCGCATTTTGGTTCTAGTATTGAGGAAAAATGATTTCACAAAAATTATCCACCAGGAAGCTGATGATATAAAGGCATAGAAGCTGGCACATTTCTCTGACAGCTGTGTAATTCTTACTCTGCCTTTTTTTAGTTGTTTGGGCGACTCTAGAATATTGTGTGTTTCAGTTTTCTTTTACCTAATACTGGTGGAATAAAAGCATTTAAAAGATGGTGTTCTATTAAGTATGATAGATTTCAATAAATCTATTTTTCTTTAAATTTAAAAAAAAAAAAACGGGGACATAACTTACTTGCTTCCAGATATGGGTTTGGGTTTTTTTTTCTTTTGCACTGACATTTTTATCCATTTTTTTATTCATATTGTAACATTTATCGACCACATTTTGTCCCACATACACTGAACAATTTACAATAATTCACAGTCAAATAATTAATCCTGAATACTGCTTACATTTCAATTCCTATTGAGACTGAATTCCTAATGAGATTGAATTTACTGCAAATACCTGTATCTGTTCCAATACATACATACTACATGATACCCTATGACTTGTTATACTGGATAGCACGATGTAATGTAACACACACACACACACACACACACACACACACACACCCCCCAGAAAAGCAAATAAATGCAGTTCAAAAAGAATTACTACTGTTATTGGTCATAAGTAATGGAGAGGCTGCACACATCTGCTATTGTAAAAATACCAAGAGCCAAAATGCCAGCTAACAAAGATTAGGCTGGGGAGAGTAAAATGGAATTAATATTGCTCGAACAGGAGAACCCTGCCTACATAG